GCGTAGGTAATAGTTATTGCCCCCCCCTCCACCCTCCGACCGCTGCCGCCGCCGTTGCCGCGTACACGGCACGGTAACGATAATCGCGATCGCTATCAAAACCGGAGTAAGGTGAATTACGTAAAAAAAATAAAAATAAAATAAAATCCATCGCGCGAATGGTATTCATTTATTTTTTTTTCTTCCCTCTTCTCTTCCCCCTCGTAGCGTACCGTCGTAACGCGTAACGTGTGTCGTACACACACGCAACGAACGCGACGTCGTCAGTGTCCCGTCGCCGTGTCCGTCTCGTTAGCCGTCCGTTTCGCGCGTTCGCCCGGCTCCGTCGGTCGCGCGTTTCTTCCGTTCTCTCACCTACCCCCCGTTCGCGTCGCAACGACTACGTCCGCCGACGGTCCGCCCGCGAGCGTATCGACCACCGCGACACCCCGGACGGTACGGCGTCCAACGACCTGCTCGCCCGCCGCTCATACGTGTCAACCGGACACAACACCAAAGTGCCGCGGCGGTCGGAGTCGGCAAATGCTCGTCACCCGCACGGCGACAGCACCAGACGGCCGATAGGACCACCAGCAGCCGCCGCCGCCGCCGCCGCCGCGGGTCCGTGCCGACTCGGATAATGTGGTCGGGCCGTCGGTGGCAAATCGACGACGTCCACATCGCCGCCGCCGCCACTACAACCGCCGCCGTGACATCGACGTCGTCGACGAACATCTCGGGACGACATTCGCTGTCCGCGCGTCACGGCCGGCACGCTCGATAACGCGACCAACAGCCGATACGTACATCGAAAGACAATTGTCATCGCCGTTGCCCACATGACAAAAGCGATGGCTTTCAACGAGGTGAGTGTTGGTGTACGTTCGATTAGATCGAGTTCATTATTCCGTGTTACCGTTGTCATGATGTCCCATTGGTTAACCCAAATTCTAATGAATGTACCATACAGTTGCAATGGTCACAAATGATCCCATCCTCCGACCATAATTACTTACCAATTCTTATAAGTCAGTTATTCTTTTGTGCGTAGTTTGTTTGTATTATTATTATCATCCCATGAATAGAAATATTTACTTATAACTTCTTACAATATGATAATTAATAATATCAATACAACAAAACCAAATGAATAACAACATTTATCTGTCAATGTTTACTTTGCATTTTTTTATCAGAAAACTACTAACAAATCAAATTATAGATTTCTTATATTTTTGAAGTTCTATCTTCCTTTTGAATAAGAATTTTTCTTAAATTTATTTTACCCATGTAATAATCTTTGGTACCTGTATGATTTAACAATTATTAATAATTTTCAAAATGCATATACAAAGTTAGATAATGATTCATTATAGCCAATTAAAATATAATTTGTATACACATAGTCTATAAATGTTTTTGATTATACGCAGCTGATGTATTAATACATAGTTACATTTTTTGAACTTGTATTTTATTGAATACAATTTTAATATAAGTGTTTACTCAATTAGTCTAACAAATAAAATTGTAATATTTTTATTAATTTGACACAGTTAAATTAGTACCGTAATTCAATTTATTTTGTAACCTGTACCTACCATTAAGAATTATTTATACTTTCAAAATGACTTATTTTTTAAACATTTAAACCCTATGTAGTTATACTTTAATTGGTTTTACTTAATTTCCCTAGGATTGGAATAATAGTGAAGATATTATAATTTAAAATTAGAAGCATGTTAAATAATTTCTTACATCATCATTAAGTTTAAATAAATAGTTTAGAATTTAAAATTAATCATATAATGATCAACATTTTATTATAAAAATGCCTGATTACCTTAGTCCAATTTATGATTTATTTTATTATTCAATTAAATAACTAATTTGGTAAGAATACAATGTATTACTAAATTCTATTTTTTTATGATTAATCAATCACTTGTTTAGTAATAAAACAATTTCATTAATTAGTTACATAATAATTACTAGAAAAATATATATAAATAATTTTGTGAGAACATACATACTTATAAGAGTATGTTTGTTAGAAAATGAAATGTTCCTTATTGATTTCTTATATAATGTAATATCAACACAATTAAATGACTGGTAAGGGTAATGCAGAGGGTAACGTGAGTGTTCTATTGAATCAAGGTCATTTGATGTATTTTAGTTCTCTAATACTACTTATATTAATAAAAACAATTGATTTTCCTTCTCTATACATTTATTTATTCTTAGAAATGCCCTTGAAAGACCACATGACTTGTCACTAATAGTATTATTTATAAATAAAACAATATTTTTTAAAGAAATAAACCTTTTTTTTTTTTTTTATAATTTTACTTATATTACCATATATTTATTTTGTCTCTTTAAAACTAATCTATAGAAAACTTAAGTTAAATACTAATTTAAAAAAAAATGTAAGGAGCCTTAAGATTTTGCATTATGACATTTGATTAATAACAGATTATTAAATTTTAATGCATATTATCTCGTACATGACCTATGGTTTGTTAAAATTATATAATAAACATTTAAATTATTAATTTACATACTGTGGTTTATTGTTCTACAATACTTCAGTTATAATATTTTGGAAAGTTGAATATCTAATTTTTAATTAAACATTCATTGGAAACTGTCAACTGTTCAAACAGTTAAATTTATTCCAATTATAAAAGCTATTTAATTTTTAAATATTATTTCTAATCAACTGATAGTTATTATTATTTTTTTAATTTCTTATTCATAATAATAAGAATATGATAATTGAATAATCTATTTTTAAATATATGTTTTTTTTTCTGAATATCTAGAACAATGGTTCTCAATAGGGGCGATATCGCCTCCCAGTGGGCGGTGAAGTATCACTGGGGAGCATTGAACTATTTTTGGGCGGTAGGGGAGCAGTGAACTAGTTTTTGGTGGTAGAGAGGCGGCAAGCGTGTTCACGCAATAACGTTGTACATGATGTGACCTAAAAAAAATTCATACTTGATAATCCATATAATAACTATTAGTTACTAATAGGTACTATATGTTGAGCAATACACAATAACATATCTTTCATTGTTGATAAATTTATTATCTTTATTATTTTAGCGATTGTGCTTAGACATTGTATTTTATTATAAGTAGGTACCTATATTAACCAACCTTTTAGTAAACCGTCTGATTAGACCCGCGCGTGTTGTATTAGTTTTCTTTATTATACTCGTATTATTCAGTCTGTTAAAAATGTGTTTTTTTAAAAAAAAATTACTACAAAAATACATGGGTTAATATCTACAAAAACAATAAAAGCAATTTTTATTTGATTTTGAAATCTTTTTTAAAAGTAATATATATTCTAAAAAATCTAAAAAATGTATTTATTACTAAAAAAATAAAATTGATAAATTATTAAGTTTTTTCAATTGTTTAATTTAATTAATTTATTAGTACTATAATTAAAAAAATATGAAAAATAAAACATAAATGAAAACATTAGTTATGAGATAATTATTCAATTTTTTTTTCAAATTTTCCAAATCATTAACTTCTTTCCAATCTCTCAACCCATACCATTAATTATAGAATTTTCACAAAGGGGGGGCGTTAAAGAATTGATTCCTACTCAAGGGGGCGGTAACATAAAAAATGTTGAGAAACACTGATCTAGAATAAAAAGTAAATCAATTCAACTAATTATTAATTTTAAAATTTAATATAATTTAATTTAATTTTCAATTCTTTCATAATAATTTTAAATAATTATTAATGATTAGGGCTGGGATTTTAATTCTCTAAAAAAAAAATGCAAAAATGCTCTGAAAATCATAAAAATGAGTAACATTTTTTATTTATTATAGTTTAAAAATGATATTATAAAAATTATGTTACCAAATATATTTAATTACATTTATTTAACATAATAATAACAAAATAGGTACTTATTAGTCTAATATTTACATTTTATATAACTTTATTTAAATTAAATTAATTTCATAAGTTGCAGTTATGATCATTGTTGGACTCTTGTAAATAAAAAAATTTATTAAGGTCGGTTTCCACTTGTCATGTTTTATATCCAAGACCATGTCCGGGGGTCACTGATATAAATTCTGACATTACAGTATATTGTCAAAGTATGCGTTTTATAGATTTACATTTTAATATTGAAAATGGATTCAGACATGGCGGATGCCGTGCTTTTAGTTTGTGGACTTTTAGCTAATGTGAATAAACAACAAATTTTGTCTAGTAAAATAAAAATAAAATAAAATTTTGGGTTTGGCAATGTATTTCTAAACAAAATAAGTTTGATATATCTAATATGTTACTACAAAACTTCTAATGTCGAGTATATATTTACAAATTTCATTGTCGTATCATAAATCACTTTTTTACAGACATTTTTAATAAATATATTATTATATTATTTAATTACAATAATATTATATAACACTATCAACTTTAACTTCAAGTGCAATGAATTATTGATTAATTGTTACTGCAGTTATATTTATTATTGGATGGAATTTCGTTCGATAATTTTGATACATGTCCATGGCACCACGGATACGATAATTCTATTTTTGATAAAATAGATAGGTACATAAATATTATGCTCGTATTTATTAGTTAATTAATTTAATAAATTACATACTAAACGTGCAAGTTTTGAGCGAACAAATGTCGAAACACTTAATGAAATACTATAATATTTAAGAATTTATAGATAATTTTGAAAAATGCTCTAAAAACTTGATAATAAATAATAATAAATAGCAATATATGCCCTAAAAATGCATTTGAAGTTAAGTTTGTCATAAAATGCAAAATAAAAACTTAATATAATTAATCAGTTCTACTTAAAATACATTTTTTTCTTACAGACCTATGTGTTGAGACATCAGAAAAAGATGCATTTGCATAAAAATCCAAACCCTATTTATGATATAATTCTAGTCCCAAAATAATTATTTATTTTCATAATTCTTGATACTTAACTTAAATAATTATTTAAGTAGTATTTATGTATTTTAACTATAAGAATATAACTTATAATTAACTATATAACTACTGTATTAAAATTGTGTAGTAAATATTTAACTTAAAACTTCCTTCTCAAATTATAATAATTTATTTATATTATATTATATTTGAATTAAATAATTATATATAAAAGTTAATTTGTAATTTTATAGAAAGTTGACCCAGAGCTTATATTCACCAAACAAGAACGTATTGGTAAAGGCTCATTTGGTGAAGTCTTCAAAGGAATTGATAACAGAACACAACAAATTGTGGCTATTAAAATAATTGATTTAGAAGAGGCTGAAGATGAAATTGAAGATATTCAACAAGAAATTATGGTTTTATCTCAGTGTGATAGTCCTTTTGTTACCAAATACTTTGGTTCCTATCTCAAAGTGAGTGAATTATTGAGTTATATAATAAATGTATTTTTAAATAGTTACAAGTAATGACTGCTTTAATATAGGGCACTAAACTTTGGATTATCATGGAATATCTTGGCGGTGGATCAGCTCTTGATTTAATGAAAGCTGGTAATTTTGAAGAGATGCATATTGCCATTATACTGAGAGAAGTTTTAAAAGGTCTTGATTATTTACATTGCGAACGAAAATTACATAGAGATATTAAAGGTAATTATTTTGCTTAGGAAACAATGTTGTATATTAATTTAAAATTTTGATTTACAGCGGCAAATGTATTGTTAAGTGAAATTGGAGATGTCAAATTGGCTGATTTTGGTGTTGCTGGCCAGTTGACAAACACAACTAGTAAAAGAAACACATTTGTTGGTACACCATTTTGGATGGCTCCTGAAGTTATCAAACAATCTGCTTATGATTCCAAGGTTTATTCAATTTTTATAATACTATGTCTTTAGATAAAAGTTAATGAGTATATATTTTATTCTATAGGCGGATATTTGGTCTTTAGGAATAACTGCTATAGAATTAGCCAAAGGTGAACCGCCTAACTCTGAATTGCATCCAATGAGAGTATTATTTTTGATTCCAAAAAATAATCCTCCTCAATTGACAGGGAACTATACTAAACAATTTAAAGAATTTGTGGAGGCATGTTTAAATAAAGACCCTGAAAATGTGAGCATTATTTTAATTAAAATTATTTTTATACTAAAAATGTGAATACATATTTCAGAGACCAACTGCTAAAGAACTATTAAAATTTCCATTTATCAGAAAAGCCAAGAAAAGTTCATATCTGGTCGATCTCATTGACCGTTATAAAAAATGGAAATCACAGCGTAACGAAGAAAGCGAGACAGAGTCTGAAAATTCAGATGTGTAAATATTCATGCGTTTTTATATTTTTGTTTTAATAAATACACTTCTCTTACTATATGTATATTTTATTTTAGGGAAGACTCAGGTAAAACTGACAGTGATCTAGATGAACCATGGATCATGACTGTTAGAGGTCCAAATTCTATGAAGCCCTTAAAGAATTCCACTGCTGAATCAAGTTCTTTTGCCTCATTGCAGTTACTATCAAAGAAAACTCAACAAAATGGATCACTGCAATCATCTAAAAAATCATCCAGCCAGAAATCCAATATTGTCGAATCAAATGTAAGCATTATCATTGATTTTAAAATAAAAATAACTTTACTATTTTAACTATTTAATACTATTATAAATTATGGTTTTAATAAATAATATTTTTCATAGTTAAAATTATATTGTATTACATTTTTCAATCGTAAAATTTTTATTTATTACTTAAGTAATCTAAGTACTGTGTCTATTACATAACATGATATAAATAAGGTATATCATACAGTAATTGACTCATTTAAATAATTAACTACATTGTTAATTTTAGCTATTTTTTTGACTAAAGTATTATAAATTACATTTATAACTTAATTATCTGTTTATCTTCATTATGATTGATTTTGTTCACATTGTACTATTATTACAATAAAAAAAATCTAACTATTTTTACTCATGTTTTTAAAATTAGTTGATTGTTACTCATGTCCATGGCTCTAAGAATCCGGACAAACGTAATTCCAAAGAAATTGAACCAAAACGCAGTATTCCTCGTACACTAGAACACACTGATAACAAAAAGCAAGTTCATCCTAAAACTAGCCAGAACCATAATAACTCCTCATGTTGGTCACCATGTCTTTCATTGTTAATTTTTCCTCTAATATCTGAGGTAAGTCAATATCAGTGGTACATGTAATATATGTTATACTTATGACTTAAATTAGTAGATTATTATGAATATGTGGAATCGATGAAACTCTGTTGGAATCACTTTCAGTGATATGCACCAAAATGGTCTAAATGTTGATATGTTACTTTTAATAGTAAAATTATAATATTAAAAATCAACTAACAGTGAAATTTCATTTAGTTAAACATTTATTCCTTCTTAAATAAATTAAGAACCGTTTTGTGTTTTTTATGCAAAATAAAATACATCCTATATAGGGAGTATAGTTATAGTGATATAAATGTTTTCATGAATGATTTTCATTTATAATCATAGTTTATCTTATTATAATAAGTAAAATAACTAAAAAATAATTAATGGCAATTAAGTATAATCACAATTTTTGAATATTAATAATTAAAATCTAAAAAATGAATAATAACAGTACATGATTTCCTTATCAATTTATGTTAAAAACATATTGTGTACGGTCAAAATTTATTAATTGAAATTGTATACATCAACACTCATTGATGTCTGTTAAAATTAACAACTGCATATACACAAAATATTTTATCTTTACAAATAATAAATCTAAAATCTTCTATTTTTTTTTTTTCAGTTACAAAAGAGGTATCGTTATAAAAACGATATGTCCTATAAGATAGATGCTATTGAAGAGTTGAAAAATTCCTTTGAGTTAGCTGAACGTGCTAGTCCAGGCATTAGCGATCAGTTTCTGAGAGAAATGATACACAAATTACTCCCATCGTTATCTGAACAAAGGATATCCAGTATGCTAGATCATATGATTAGGTATTATTAATTTACCTTTTTTTTTAGTGCTCCAAATGTTCAATATTTGTTTGTTTTACAGAGACAAACACTGATGACAGTTGAACATATTTTCTTTACACATTATTTTGTTATAGTATTTTCATAAATATCCTCTAGCCAATCAGTTTTAATAAGACAATAATAATAATTACTTTACCTTTCTAATTATTATTGTTTAATTTTTTTTCATTTTGTGTTATATTGTGAGTTTTGAAAACTTGATTATTTTTTTTGTTTATAATTTGAATTGTTGTATGATTTATGTGTCATAAATTTATTTAATTCAGATCCTAAATATTGTGTACGTATCGTAGGGTATTTGTGTTAAATCTTGTACGGGCTGCTTGAATAGTTAAACAACGAACCCTCAGATTTAACACTTTATTATTAATAATATTATATTTATTTTTTTTAAACAATGTTAAGCATATATTATATAAAAATAATGTTGAAAATATTTAGATTATTAATGAGATTATTTTTGTAATGTTCAGAGTAATTAAATTGAAAGAAATTAAAAATGCTATTTATTTTTTACAAAGAAAAAAAAGCTATAGGTATTTTCTGTACTGCCCACAATCAATACTATTGTTGTTAAATATTTCTTCATTAATTTTAAAATTATAATAACAATACAATTTATATTAATTGTTTTTAACACAGTATTTAATTTATTAAAATTGTATTATCACCCAATTGTTCGTAACATCTTCATTGTTATTCTATTATATTATAATATTTGTAAAACGACCCACAACACTTGTTACTGTTTGTACATCCACACTAATATTATAATTATTTAAGCTAAGAACTGTGCGTTAACAAAAATTGTGTTGTTTCACTTTGAAAAATATTTACAGCATTATCATTAAAATACCAATACTTTGATATTGACCGAAATTATATTTGTAAAATTTATTTCTCAACATAATGATTTCCCTTAATATGTGAAACATTATCGCAATGGAAAGCTTAAGGTATCTAAACCAGTCTTTTATCAAGGTATGTTTAGGAATACTTACGAGCAGCTATTTTTACTATTTCAAAATAATTTGAAATTATTCAAGAAGTCTAAGTTTATCGTACTGTTGTGTTGTTTCGAGTAATAAGAGTAAAAAACTTCACTTGGAATAGTTTATGAGAGAAAGAAACCTCAACACATTCAATGGTATATATGATACAATGGATAAAATATCTATAAAGTTGATTGGTAAAACTTTTTTCAAGCTGATGCATCGATTTAGTTCACATCTTTAAACATCATTAAACTCTTTTAATTGTTATGTTAAAACAATTGTGAATAACGTTGATCGTTTCCAATTAGTTGTCACCATGTAATTTGGTGTGCTACAAATTTTCTATATATATTCATTACCAGTGGTTTTTCATTTCAGCATATTTCTCTCAATGGATTTGCTTTCATTATTTGTGTTGTTAGGTTTTTTTTTTCACTATAAACAGTAGTAAACAATAAGTATATTCAATTCAATGATCAATAATATATGATTAATTAAAAATTAAAAAAAAAAGGATATTTTATTTAAAATACTTGTAGTTGAACTTGCCAAGAGTTTGCTATCAATTTGATTCGCAATCGAATAGAAAACTTCAAACAATATAATTTGGAGTTATGTGAACATATAAACAGCAGTGCTAATTATTATTCATATTCATATTGCCTGTGCACAAAGCGCATCATATTATTATTTGTCATCCTAGAACAACGATTTCTAGAAAACAATAAATAATTGATCCTAGCTGATCGCTGTATTACTGAAATGAATGATGAAAATGTTAAAACACTTTATTTAGGTTGTCCCAAACATTAATTTTCCATCAATAATATATTAGAGCACAAAATAAATATATAATTAATTACATCAATACTTATCAATATTACCAACAGTTGTAAATATATAGTAACAATAATCTATCAAATACAATGTGTCGTACAGTTGGAATCGTAATAATAAAATCAATGTTTCAATAAGCTCGGCGTTTCAGTTATTTAAAATATAAATATCACAAATTGCAATTATGAACAATACATGTTAATGGCTGTTAAAAATTGTGGTGGTGTTTCACCCCGATAACAAAAATAAATATTCTTTTTGGTTTTCGCTATCATAAAATAATGTAAAAAATTTAACTACATCTTATAGTCTAAAATGTCACATAAAAATCTTTCATATTATAATAAACATATTTGTTAATTTTAAGGATAAAATTTAAATTAAACAACTTACAAAATAATAATGTGGGCTTGCTGTGAAAAATTAACAATGGCAAATTTTGTAATTCCAAATAGGAACGTCATTTAATATTTCAATAATATTATTCAGTAACTTCAATTACTTTAAATAATAAAAATTAATTTTTTGTTCTTGTCGGTAAATTTTCTCAATATACCAATTAACAAATGTTAATAGTAAACAATGGCTTTGTTAAATTTAATAGCTATACTAAAAATCAAAATAAATTAATGCACCATTATAACTTAAAGTGACTATTTATAGCTAACTGATGATGTTATACACTAAAAAACGTAAAACTAAATAAACATGATATGCATTTAAAAATAATTATGAAATTTTAAATTATTGTAAGTTGCATCACATTAAAAAAAAAAAAAATAAATAAATAAATAACATATAAAAATCACAACATTAGTTACACTCAAAATATTAATACAAAATCGTTTCAAATAAAAAAGTTATGCAGGTTATTTAACTATAGAAATTTTATAAAAAAAAAACATAACACCCATTTTTAGCTTTTAAAGTTCACATCATTAAAATTTTAAAAAAAATTAGCTTAAAATCAACTTAAAAATAATAAGTAATGATAACTCAAAAATAAATAACACAATAATAAACAATGTTGTTCTAAAATTGTAATTTGTGTTTAAAATGTAGTGGTAAGAAAATGTACGATCACCATCTTAAAAATAATATAAATAATAAATTTCTCCAAAACAAAGAATGAAAAAAAAAAACAAAAATTCAAAATAATAAGTTAGTTGAATAGTGATCAATTGATCAAATTAATTGACTATTATTTATGTGCTGCATCTTTCTACAAAAAATCTCACTCAAGTACAATTATGTGTACCTAAATAATTTATAAAAATAGAAATATAATAAACGGTACAAAAATATACTCAATGGTAATTTAATTAACTCTCATTGTACAAATAATATTGTTAACTAAGAACTCATAATGTATGTGTTATATTACACACTGATTTTCAATGAGTAAGGTATAACCAATACTCTAAGAGCTTCCTAGTGGCTGATAGTAATAAAAATATTTGTGATCGGTTCATATTACAAAACATGGTTGTTATTGGAGTAGCAAATGTATGGTGTTTGCAAGATTTTCGGAGATGTTTCCATGACTCGCAACAACAACTTATCCAAGTACTCTTCCATTTCTGTTCTATGTTTGATCTCCTCACGCATACTGCTCTGCAGCTGAAGAATCATTTCAATCAGATCCTGAAAGTAGATTATTGTTAGCTGCCAATTTATCAGTTTATATGAAGGGGTTGAATTTTATATAAATTTTATTCAAATACATACATCCCTGGATTTACCATCAAATTTCTGAAGGACTTCTGGAGAAAGTTTTGAATGAGAATTTTGGACATGACTGGAATCTTTTTCTTTTCCTATTATGATTCGCTCATATGCTTTGTTCCATGAAGATAGTGCTGATTTATTTTCTACAATGTTCACAGACATGTAAGATATTCAACAAATTAGAGAAACTTAATGATTTAACAAACAATAGTATGAAAAATATAATTATTATTAGATTTTTTTTTCGTGGTTTGTAATAAATAGGGCTCGGAAGTTGATGACCTTAAAAACATTAAAAAAAAGATTCAAATATGACATAAAAATGACAAAAAAATGTCCTTAAAAAATATAAAATAAAAAAATGACAAACATTTGTTTTATAAATTTATCAAAGCTTACAAATTACTCAAAAATCAAAATCATTGCATTGTATGATTAGATCTTATTTGATGTTATCATAAGTAAATAAATGACGATTATCTGTTTATAAATATTTATATTTGGAAAAATTTCTCTCCACGTCCACTGAAGTGATTGGGAGGCACAGACGAGCACTAACCGACGTTTTAATTTTTGCCATTTGCAAAATATTACGAAAAAATAATAAAATTTATATATAATATGTATTATTCACTATAACATGACAATGAAGCGACGAGACAATATCGAATACTAATCGAATATTAGGAAAAAATAATAAAATTTAGGTATAATACTATTCACTACAACACGACAATGAGGAATGTAATCGACGAGATAAAATTGGACAAGTTATCAGCATAATGGTCGATAAGAAATAATAAGAAATTAACTAGTGTGAAATAAGTAAAAATGACTAAAAATGTGGAAAAATTACGTAAAAATGTCAATAAATTACTTAAAAAGTAACGAACACCAAAAAGTACAAAATAAAAATTAGTTATTTGGATTCACATGCTAATGAAACACATTTGTAGCCAGGATAGCATCTTCTAAAAAGTTTGAAAAAAAAAAGCAAAATGCATCAACTTCTGAGCCCCAGTAATAAATTACTTACTCGGAGAACTTTCATTTTCATGATTAGTTTCTTTATGGTTGTAAGAACGATCATCCAGCGGTGAAATGAGATGTTTCTTCTGCACTTTAGGACTATTTTTAAGGGATGGTGTTGGACTTTTATCCTTGCTCTTATCATGACTGATGGGCATTTCCACCGTGTCCTTTAGTTTTGACTTTAAAGTGTCAGCAAGTTTCAATGTGTTATCTGAAAATAATTACCATATACCCAAATGTTGAAATTATTTTAAATGTTTAAACTAAATCAATTATAAATGAATACCTTTGTTTTTGTAAAGTTTTCTTTGCCATTCATCTTGTTGTTGTGCAACTGGTGACCGATTCATAATTGGAGATTTACTTAATGTATCATTGTTACCGACACTCTCAACTGATCCATACAAATTTACAGTCAATCCACTTATAGGTGAATCATTTACAGTTTTACGATCAGATTGACCTGATGTGTCTAAAGAGCATGCTGATCCTTTATGAGATAAATCTTCAAGCTATAAGAGTAAAAATTCATAAATATTTTGTTTAGCTAAAACAATTTGTTACAAGATATGGAAATCATTATATTTACAGCAAAATCGTCATCATCACTAATGACACCAGGGTCAGCATCATCTCTAGCTTGTGAGGATTTTATTTTGTTCGGATTTTCTAAGCTTAAATTAATACTAGACGATGATATTTCTTGGATTTTTTTTTCTCGTTTAATTTTTCCCGCTGTAATTGAAAATGAATACATTTTTATTATAATCAAAAACCAACAACTATATTCGAATCAGTAATTACTTATTGTCTTGGCTAGTTTTTTAAAAGATTTTTTATCAACACTACTAATGCTCATCAAACTACCACCTAAAACACACAAAATATATAATAATTAAATAATTAAATAAATATATAATATTATATTGGTATTACATGATAAATGTTTCATACAAAATATACTTACTAATGTTAGAAGCGGTATGTGATAATTGACCAACAGATAGTCTATGTTTTTCTTTCTTGCTAAGATCTAATAAACTTCCAGATTTAACTGTAAATGCAATTTTAACTTGCAATTCACCACGGTCTTTGTTTTCTTGACCATTTTTACTTTTCAATGGATACCATCTATAATATAAAACAAATAGTAAAAAATACTAAAAAAAATAAAAGTAATTTAATTGGGAAATACATCAAAGAAAATTCAATGAAGTTTAAAATAATTGAATATAATGTACATCAGTGATGACTAATAAAAAAATTAACATTATAAAGAAATATAAATGTTTTAGTTGAATTAAATGACCAAAATGTTCTAGTTGAGTAACTAACTTATACATTTAAATACTTTTACATAGCTAAATGAAATGAATAATATATGATATAAAATGTTAGCACTAGTGTTGAAATTAATCAAATAAAATTTCCAATTTTACATGCTGATTCATGAGTTAAAATTTTTAATGTTTAAATTGACAATATAATTTTATGTATTACATACTTGCTTTTAGGACGTTCATATACATCTATATCTGCTAATGGTATTGTTGTTTGGCCTAAAAATTGGTCTATTCCCAAAAAATTTCTATGAAGTACACTAAGTACTAATTCAGCAGTATTTCCTTGTTTTGGGATTTGCCTAAAAAAAGACTCTTAAGATTCAGTGTTCTGTAATTTTTAAAAACTGGACTACTTACAATTCACAAACTTCATGCCATTCGGTAAATTCAGCATCAACAGCCTTTTCTTTAGGCGATGTTTGATACTTTTCTTTACCCAAACCAATAGTAACAAATACATCATTTTTTGCTAAAGTGAAACAATACAATTAAGACTCATTAATTATATTCATAAGCATATACAAAACAAATATGTATGAAATCTATAATCAATAATCATTGAAAAAAGTGAAAACTTGATTTATTTCACTTTATTGCAGAAATATTTTGGTTTATTAATTTATAATATGTTTAACTACCTACCTAAATAAGTTAAATGTTTGTTAAATTAAAAAATGAAATAATTGCATAAAACTCACTGAATTGATTCAACTTTTTTATGTTGAAATCTAGTAAGTAACTATTTTATTTTAAAAATAATCATAGAAAATGTTTTAAAAGTACAATAATACATTATAATTAAATAGGTGGACAAAAAATTGTATTTTAAAAAATTAGTAGTTATAAAAATATATTATTCCTAAAATATAATTTAATTTAGGAAAATTATTCATACCGCATAATTCTGAGTCAAATGTCCTAATACATATTAATAAGTTCAAGTTGACTTATATATTACATGTCAAGTATTATTAAATGTTGTTCTATAACACAGGAATTCATTATTAACCCAATTAAATGAGAAAATGAATCAATTCTGCATAAATGTTATTTGATTACAATAAGATATTTAATCCCAATGAATTAATAAGTTAGTAGTTTTATGATGACCTCTAATAGTAAATTTTATTTAAACAAGATAAAATAGCTTAAATCTATGAATAAATTATCAAGAGTAATTTAAGCCTTTTAAACAAACCATTTTTGCTAGAATTATCTGCACTTAAATATTATACTTTACATACAGTGTGATAAAATATAAATATTATAGAACCTTTGAATAAGTTATACATTTTAAAGTATCTATACATGCTTAATTTTTACATGTATTGTTTTGTAATAACTTTTTAATTAGGTATTAAAATAAATAATTATTATTTTTATAACTAATGTAAATTATAATTAGTGAAGAATTAGGACAAATTAAGAATAATTAAGCATAATCAATCAAAATGGGTTCGACAATATAAGCAGTATATTATTTCTAAAAAAAAAATAATAGAAAATTAAATGTTGTAATGCTTTGTGTGAACGAGTGATAAAAAAGCGAATCATGATGAGTACTATGACCTAATTAAAAGCAAAAGGATTATTTGTAATAAATGAATAGGTAGTTGGATGTGATAAATGACATACTGAACATGCATGTTGAGTAACACATACGTCTGATTATGGAATAAAATATAGGCGATACAACTGAAGTAGGTGATTCAATTGAATATCGTTGGAACATTACTGTTATATTATTATTATCCTATGTCGTATATGTTTTAAAATATAGGGAATGCGATAAACATCGAACGGACTATAATTTGGCCTATAGGATACCATGATACCGTGAATACAGATAAAGTGGTGAAACGATAGTGGCTAAGGGATGATACTTCACTAGTGTAGTTTTACTAACCGTTTTTGCTTTTGACGTTCAGATTCCTGGTCCTCTGAACTGAAAATCAAACAAACAGTATTAATATACCACAGTCGACGAACGTCCCATAATAATTATCCGTCGGCCAACACACACACAACACTTACCTGTGACCTGTACGTGCGTGGGACTCCACATCGTCGTGTCCGATGGCAGGGATGGCGGTGGTGATAGTTTGGATCTGGAAGAACGGAGGGACGATATGACGGGGGGGGTCGAGAAACGATCATAAAAAAATCGCGAGCGAGACTCGAGGGGAGCAAAGCGGGAAAAGTAAAAACAAAAAAAAAAAAACGTATAGCATTCACAGAATAATATAGACGCACGGATTTGATAAGACGAACCTGATAAGACGCGCCACGACCGCGAGAAAAAACACGGTCGCGCTATGCAGACGTAGTCATAGTAATTCGTATTGCACAGCGAAGCAGAAGTACGTTCGTGCACCGAACAATGAGCGGAAAAAAAAAAAAAATGAACGTACGAGAGCGACTATCGTTTCACCGGATCTTCGTCATCGGCATCGTTCGTGTGGGCATAACAATGCGTGATGGAATATGCGCTCCGTCATGGTGTAATAATAATAATGCAATTTACAATGATGTTATTATTGGAGTGTCTAAATAATCTAACAGTTATTGTCGTATTCCGTTTTGTGTGAAATACGTTTTTAAAATGCGCATTTCCAAGTAGTCGCTAACGATTGTTGTAACAATGAAAAAAAAAAAAAAAAGAAAAATTAAAAAAATATCTATATCGAGAGAACAATAAACTAAAATATTTTAACGATTTAAACTCATCTCTTCTAAAACGAGGAAAAATGCCTCTTTCTTTGCACAGCGAGTTCGCAGAGGTAGATTGTCGAGCGGCAGAGCACTCAACACATCGCTCGTTTTTAAATCCGACAAATACGATTTTCATTTTCGAACCGTAATCGATTACTAACGTAAGGAAATGTTTTAGCGGTCTTGTGCTGCGGACGAAAATCATATTTATCGAGTAAGTATTTCGGTGAACCGTTTTGACGCGTTGGTCAGAAAATGCAATGGTATTATTACGTGCGTCTAACAACAGCCAAGTTTATCGAACGAAACGGAATTTTCAAAGCACATTTTTGAATATATTTAATACAAAGTTCGCTGCTCTGCGTCGACTGCATATGTTCACGTTTTTCATAAATACCTACATTACATTTATTTCCCGTTACCCATATTTGCGTTTTTTTTTTCAATGAAAAGGTTTGAGAAGAACAAAGGTCTGGACGATTTGACATTATTATAACCTAAGCCTCATTCATAATTAAAAATGTTCAAAATAATTTTTCAAGCGATAATATTTGCCAGCTATTTGTAAATCATTCATAGAACAAACATAATAATAGGTACTTGTAATAATATAGTAATGGTAGTTTATATAACTGTAATTGTACCTACAAACGTGGTCAATCCTTGCATGTCGATAGAATAATAAACAATGACAATTATAATAATAATCAAATTTATATTGAATCACATAGTAACATTTTTTTTTCTATCTATAAAAGATAATTTGCGATTGATAAAATTGAATTCTAATTTTGAAGCCTCTCACGCGCCCTTCCGATTTTAACACCCTGTGCCGTCGCAAGCGTCGATCGTGAGCCGGCCCTGACATATAACACAACATTTTAAGCCCGAGCGAATAATATATAAATATATCACAACTTAAACTCAACACGAGTACGAATTAAAATCAAAAAAAAATGTTAGTACCTTTTTATGCAATTTTGTTGATTTTCCTCATTTAGAATACAATTTGAGATATTTTTAAATATTATTCACACAATTTACCTAATTTATTTATTTTTTCGTAAGAAATAAAATAACAATGGGGGCCGTGTCAGAATAACACAATAGTAATAAATAAAAGATCATTGATAGTCAGGGCCGGTTAGATACGATCGACGCGTGCGACGGCACAGGGTGCCAACATCAGAAGAGCGCGTGAAAGGCGTCAAAATTAGAATTAAATTTGATCAATCGTTGGTGACAAAAATTATCTTCTATAAATAAAATTAAAAAAAAATTTACGATGTGGTTTAATATAAATTTAATTACTATTATAATTGTAATTATTTATTATTCTATCAACATGCAAGAATAGGCCACTCTTGTAGGTAAAATTACAGTTTTATAAATTATCATTATACTATTACAAGTATTAATACGTTTTTTTTTTTTTTTTTTTTTTTTATTAGAAAATAAGGCTTCAACATCACAGGTTATTAGCCTATATTACGTTTGTTCTCTGAATGATTTAAAAATACGTGGCAAATATGCATGTTTGAAAAATTATTTTGAGCATTTATGATTATGAACGAGGCTTAAGTTATAATATGTATAATGATGCACCTCCATTTATCAAAATTCTGCCTGTTTAATTCGTTTAAGATAGAGGATTGCCAAAATAATTCTTGCACTGAGCGCTGAAAGCCGGCCCTGTTGATAGTTAATTTGGGCGTTAATAATTGTGATGGTAGTTATGGAAATATATAAAACTTGATATTCTCAAATCGGAGATCTTTCGTGTTTGAGAACTTAAAGGAATCATTTATCGTGCAACGCGATCATAGGTACCCAGCCACACAAATGTGTATTAAAAAATAAAATAAAAATTGTGCATATAAAACGTTTTTTAAATGTTGATAATTTTGTTTGTAAGCTCCTGGGAGACCAGACTAAAACCACAATTCCAATACTAACATACATTTTTATTTTGAAATATTTTGTAAAAAAAAACTCGCATTTCTTATATGATACCTAGTCTTAACAAAAAGTATTTGTGCATTTTTTTTTTTTAATAGTTATTGTGATTAATAAAAAAGTTTATTACAATAAACTACTAACTTTGGGTATTTTTAAAACAGCAATACAATTTTTAAGTGCAATTTCGGATATTTTTTACTGTGATAATGTACTTTTGGTTATTTTTTACTTCAATTGTGCAATCAATTTTAATGCTTTTCGGTGCAACAATTGTTATGCCCTAGTTCTTACGATACGAACACAAATTGATTACGTGTTTTACGACCGAAATAATTTCACTACTGATTTCCGACCATATATTTCCACCGTCCATGGACAATTTTCTTCTTCTAATATATCGACGGCACATCTCACTGGTTCGGGCATACCACCGCTAGCAGAATACACCGGGGTAAGCACCGATCTCAGGGCCATTTCAGCATGTAGTTCACTCGGGAAACATAATAAGTACTCGTATTTGAAGTTTTAGCCACGTGGACTAAGTAATGAGCGACTATCGGAAATGGATCGATATTTTCAAACGATTGAGATTGGAATAAAAAGAACGATACAAAAAAGATTTCTGCTCGCTTTATAAGTTTTTTTTTTATCGTTTGATGGCATTATTCTGTTTTTTAAGTGAAAAGTAGATGAGAATATAAAACGTGCAATAACTTTTAATTTGTATTACATAATGGATTCGCATAAAATATTATATCAACGATTGGATTCATATAAAAGATAGATAAAAGATATCTAACACAAATAGTAAGTTTTTCTACAACAGAAATATCTGTTGTCTCATCTGCAAGAACACTAAAATAATGTGACTCGTTAACTTCTTTCACAACTTTTTTTAAAATAATATCACCACAAGAACTTATAATTTCATTTTGAATAGTTGGGCTAATATATTTACTTCGATAGCTTGATGAAAGAAAGTTTTTTAAATGTTCTATTTCTTTTGCTTTATATTTCAGTATAACTCGAAAATTTCCTTCATTCATCTCAGGTTCACCTAGAAAAATAATGACAAAGAAAGGCCCAATAAGTTCAGGTTTGGGTTAAAGCTCTTATTAAAAATAATTTTATTCCTTACTAAAATAAAATTGTATCCAAAATATATAGTAGATAAAACATATTAGAGCTAATAGTATTAAAGTATTTTAATATAATTTAAAAAAAACTTACCATCAAATGACAAAGCACCAAAGTCCCTATGACCCCTTAAAGCAATCTCTTGACGACCACATACCAAAATACAATCAATAATAGGAATTAAATTCTCTCGGTTTTCTTTGACTTTTTTGCTCTGAAATTATACAAATTTAGGTTCATTTATAATCAATAATATTTTAAAACTAAACATAAACTAAATTTGTAATAAAAAAATAATACAACTTTATAATAAAAATAGAATATTAAAAAATATTTAAATCTACCTGTCTATGTTTAATTTGTTTATAATTTCAGGTTCCTTTGAAGATGCAATATTCAAAAAATAATCAGCTTTTTCTAGAGCTAGTTTATGATATTGATGTTTAGCATGATTATTTAAAGTCTAATATAATAAATAAAACATACATATTAAATATTTATAATAATATAAAAACATTTAAAATGTGTGATCATAACTTTATAGACATACTTCTAATGCTTTTTTAAAGTTATCCATTGGTTTAATCACAAGTGTATATAATTTTTGACATCTGAATCCACCAGTTCTTGAAAAAATTAAACATACTTTACAAAAACCTCCTTGGCTTATCTCTGAATGTGCTAACCACTTGAACATTTTCAACCAATGGTGTTGAAATTTGAGATTCCAACCTTTATTTTTCTCTATTATAGGAAATATATAAGTTTCTGATGAAACCCACACATCTGTCAGAATCTATAAACAAATGTACTTTATAATTTTGTAAATTTAAAAAAATGATTCATTTAAATATCATAGTACAATACTATTTGTATATAATTAAATAACTTACTAGGTTTTTATCAGTATCACTCAAATCACAACTAACAAACAAATCAATATCATTTTCCCTTGCTAATGAAAATGTTGTCTTAAAAAAAATTATAACATAATATTGTTTATAGAAACATTAAAAACTCATAAATCGGAGACTTAAAGACTCAGATAAGTTAAATAGTCAAGCATACAATTTTTTTACTCACCAAATTTACTGTGTCTGTATGTTTTTGTTGACTTGGTGCAGGTTGTGGATTATTTGGATCTGAATCGACAGTTGACTTTATACTTTTATTGAAATATGAAAGTAGAGTATTATTTTTTCTTTTATTACTCATGTTTGATTACTATATAAAGTAATAACTAAATAACTAATTTTATAAGTTATAACAATGTTATAGTTATCAACTTTATTGTTTAATAATTTTATTATTTTTATTCGCTGTCGCGTGTAGTCAGATGCTAGTTGGTTTGAATATATTGTAGACCATGTTTATAATCATATAGTAAAAGTTATATTTTAATCGTTTTCAATTTGACGTATTATTTGTATTCAGTGCGCACCGAGTACAATAAGTAATAACGTAAATTTGACTAAAATAGATTAATTGATGTAGTGTTTTATACTCGGTAATCGAAATGTTGCATTGACGTCTGACGGCACTGCTATTTTTGTAAATGTGGGTACAATTATGAACTATGTTTCTCCACGAATCCATGATAGGTTCAATAAATTATCAACTATCCCTTGAATTTTTTTTTTTTTTAGGTTTCAGATAAATAAATAGAATGTACTATGTATACGCGGTGAACTAAATCCGTAACGATAATGATCTCATTCTCTTTTCTCATAACAACGATAGTATCCGATAATATTTTAAACACGGACATTCAGTGGAAGCCCATTAGGCCAGGTTACATACATATTGTTACATACATAGTATCGTCTCTATAAATTATTATATAAGCTATAATAAAGTATAATCATAGTCGTCATTGGCATTTCGACCAAAATACCAAATAAACATTACTTTGCTATAAATAAACGAAAATAAAATTATAATGGTTTTCAGTGTTGACTAAATTGTCAAAATTCAATAGCTCGATAGATTCACATCACAAAATATTTTTTTATAGTGCATATTATATAATATAAGGAAAAACAAAAAATAATTAAATAATAAAAAGCTAATGGGGGGGGGGGATTTGACCCCCACGTCCCCCCCTTGTATACGCCACTGAGTACGACAATTGTTCGTAAAAAAAAAAAAAAAACAAAAAATAATACTTGGTCATCATACAATATATTTTGTAATCTATAACATATTACATTAGGATCATCCCCATCATTGCATGGAACTGTTATGGTTTGGTAGCGGCATACCTTCCACGAACAAATAATTCAGTTGAAGGACGGCACAATTGTTTTTCGTCATAAAAATTTACGTAATAGAATTGAATATTATTCATATTATTTATAATTGAATCGCTCAATGGAATCGGACAAGTCGTACACGCTCGAACTCGCGCGATTTTAACCGAGGCTTTATTATTAATTATTATGCATCTCAAGACTTTATGAGGTGTGGGGGGGATCCTAAATAGTCCCCTTGCCCCTCCTCCCCTCCGAACGGCCCTGGATTCGCAGCCAAACACAAGTAACACCGTTCGTTTCCCGTACGACGCGCAGCATTTCGGGCGGTAGGTACCGCGGCGTCGTGGGCGAATCGATTTTCGACCTAGACGCGACCACGTTGGTTTACCGCGTTTAAAAACGTTTCCGTACTTCCGCCCGGCCGCGTCGATCGCTTCTCCCCGTCCCTTACCGTTTCACCGCCCGCGGCCTTACGGTGCATGAACGGATTTTCCAGTAGACAGAGTAAGCAGCAGCTGTCTACGGGCAAATTTTGCGGTGGTTTTTTTTTGAAATGCATATCATTCGTATACGTGTAATAAAAATTAAAGATAAATCAATAGAAAATTACTTATTTTATTCCTTCGTATACGAAAAACCGTGTACTATTACACACATTACATTATGTAACTAGACCGTCCGGAAAACGGTTTTAACAACGGTGGTTCGTAAAAATTATCGTTGTACGTTTTCATTGAAATTCCGCGGAAATCCGTTGGAATTTTATTTTTTTTTTCCCCGAAGCAGACTGAATAACTAAAATCTTGAAAAGAATTGCCTAAAAGTTCAAACGGATCGATGCACTGTTTTATTTTTAACGCTTGCGGTGACAAATGTTTAGCGCCCTCAGTGGCGTAGGAAGACTCGCTAGCGCCCCTGGCAAACCTAGAAAAAGTTACCTATCCAACCAGTTAAAATTCGATTACATGATATTTTTTTCAACCTTTAATTTTATTAATATTTTTAAGTATACAATTCATGCTTATAAGTTATTATCGCAGTGTTAATTTAAACTATGAAAATTTGATTTCCTCGCTTTACTGCGACTGTCAAATTCATCGATAATTTCTTCATGCGAAATTTTTTATTTGAATACCCTATTTTTTCATAATGTCATCATTAAATTCACACGTGATGTGTACAAACAGACAACATCTACGTATTTCGAAAAGTGTAATGGAAAATTTTCGAGTTAATTGTAGGGAAAAAATACGAATTTTGCACAATTTTGCGCCCCTGACGTAGGCACAGTTCGCCATACCCTTGCTACGCCACCGAGTGCCCGTATTCAAGTTAAATCCACGTCTTCGGAAGGACCGCGAAGTATTTGCGCGACACATGGGCACGCAAAGCGCGTCGTCTCGCATTGATCGCGATCGCCCACCGTCGTAATGATAACACGCAGTCGTTTGGGAACCACTGGCGAAGCCGTGACGGGAACACGGGTTCTTATCATTTTTCTTTGATTTTTGATTATTTCTTTCCATTACGCAATCGCGCTGCCCGTCCCCGAAGTGATGCGATTTTACGATACGTTATAGGCGGGAATCCTATTATCGTTGAGTCATCCCATCCTCGTGAAAACGGTCATCGGTCTCGTCCGCGCGCTTACGCCGTCATCCCGTTCACCTCCTTCGCGTTCCACCGTCTGATGGACGAGGGCGAGTAGCAGTGGAGTGTTCGTAGAAATAGTAATATCCAATATGAGTAGTACTAGTGAAACAATAAATTAATATCCGTTACGTTAGCAATAGTGTTCGATACGGTTACGGTGCAGCACGTTAGGTGGAGTCAAACGTTTGCTGTCCGATCACACACGCTCACCCGTTGGAAACCACCCGTTGCCGCTGTTATTCTTCCCTTCATCTTCTCGGCGACATTTATCCTCTCTTCCGGCGCTGTTTTTCTGTCTCGCCATGGCCGCGTTTAACGTGCTCATCATCACTGTCGTCTGCCTGCTCGCACTGTTTGGCCCCACTTCCATCTCCTCCGACAAAGGCAGTAGTGACCCATCTAACCTGGGTTCCGGCAAGAAGCATCTGGGCGGCAAAGGCCCGATCGAAGGCAACCCAACGCTGAAATTCTTTTATTGGTAAGTTCACAGTATCACGAAGACTGTCCGTTTCAATAACTACCTTAACTGTATGACTAAATTTGTGTGTCGTCTCTATCCTTTGAAGGGTTTGATTCCATTATTTTGCTCAATATAATACTACTGATGTGTCTCTTCCTAAAATATACTTAAGCTAAATGATTTCATAATATATAGATTTAAAAATGTCCTGCCAAAAATAATATTCTGATTAACATTAATGCGTATTCATTAACTGCAAAAATATTTTATTGTCCACCATTCGTACAAAGATTTTTTTTAACTATTTTATATATGTGTTTTATTCTATTTTTTATTTCTTTGTTGTTTTATTAAATTTATCTTGTTTAATATTTGGTTAGTTTTTAATAAAAATTTCTCCGAAAACAGTTATAATACCTAACATTAATATTATTCTTTATACAGTTTTTAATCAATTATATTTGATGGTTTTTTTATTTTTATTATTTTATCATAAGTGAATGTTCCCTATACAAAAAGATCTATTAATAATCAAATGTTCACATTCATAATTTAAATATTGTAAAATTGTGTTGAATTTGATGTTATTTAAATAATTTTAATAATATTTTGAAAAAAAAATCTGAAATTCATCATTATCAATTTATGATTCACCGTTACAATATTGAAAAATAAAAGCTTTTAGGTATTATAACCAATGAAATTTAAAAACATTTAAATGAAAACTTTTATTTCCTAATGCTTAAATAAAATATGAACTTGATTTAATCAAACTTTTTTTTTGTATTTTGCTTATATGTCATGTAATAGGGCTCACCCTTAAAATACTAAATTAATATACATTTTTCTGTTTTATTATATTTTAAGTTTTTGTTTTTTTTTTTTAATATGTACACAGTTAATTGTTTGTTTTTTAGCACAAAAAATGTATCTCTAATTTCAATTATTATTTTTATTGTTCTAGTTATTCGTGTGGTTATCAAAAAGCATTTGACCACTATTCAAGTATTCTTAGTGAAAAATACCCAGAACTTCACATTATAGGAGCAAATTATGATCCTTCAATGATACATTTAATTATAGCAAAAATATTGGTATGAGATTAATGTTTGTATAATTGTAAATGAACTAATGGCGGTGGTGGCATATTATGGATATTTTTATTTTTAATTTTTTTAGTATAAAAAAAATTAAACTATTATTTACCGAATTTTAACCATCCAATTTTCTTCAATTTATAATTCTAAATGAACCTTTTGTAAGTGGTAATTTGTCATTTATTAATATACCATTGAGTTTATTTTATGCATAATATGTTTAATGAAACTATCTGTTTATAATGAAAACTTGTAAAAACTTATTTATTTTCTCAAATTAATATCTACAAAAAAAAAAGTGGGCAACATTTAATATTTTTGTTAGTCCTTATAAATTAGTGCCCACCTTTAAAAAGTTTCATTCTATATAATGTTTGTACAAAAACTGAATAATTTCAACTTGGAATATGTTTTTAGTTTATTTATTTTTTTTTAGAGTGTTCTAAAAATGTTGATTATTATTGCCATTATTTCTGGTGTCAACTTTTTTGATTACATCGGCAAACAGCAACCAGATTGGTGGGGATGGTGTACATCAAATAAAATTTATGCATGTCTTGTTGTGTTCTTTGGTTCGAACATGTTGGAAGGGATGTTAATTTCAACAGGTGCATTTGAGTTGCTTTTTAATGGTAAATATTCTAAATATTAAATTGATCACCTTCAAACCTGTATGTATTAATGATTTATCGATTTTTAGATATACCTGTATGGTCAAAATTGGAGACCGGAAGAATTCCTCAACCCGCTGAATTGTTCCAAATAATTGATAACTATTTATTGTTCGATAGCCCATATCCTTCATAAATATTATGGTATAGCATTTTTTTTTTTTTTAACAACAAAATCTTAATATCAATATTCAGTTTTTTTTCCAGGCTATTAAGTTTTTCTTTTTAAAACTTATTGTAATGTATTATTAAATATTTTATTTTATTAGGTGATTCATTTAATGTTCATTCTCTTGCTGATTTAATTTTATTTTTGATTATATATGCAAGTATTTCACTTAAAACATATTGCTGCAGTTAATTGTTAAATAATTGTGAAATATAATTCATTTTTTTTCTTCTATCACAAGTATTATGAAATTAATTATATGGCTTTAGTATGTGACTTAATACATTCCATTGTACAATTTTTAGATGGACAGTTTTTATAACTTTTTAACTGATTATTTATGTAATAACAAAAAGTATCATATTGTGTAAATATTACATTTTTTGTTATTTTGTTTTCATTAACATAATATTTTTTTGATGGTCATGATTTTATACAGGAGAATTAAGGATTTCATACAGTGATCAAATTATTTTGTTATAGATCTCCCATAACAAACTATACAATACTTTTACATTATAAAATTAATTTCTCTGTTGTCTGTTAATATGAAACCATCAAAATCCGAATTTTGAAAACAAAAATTTATTATTTTTCCACAGCTGTTAAATGTGTATTTTCATTGTATGGGTTTATTGTGTCAATATACTTTATATTAATATACAAATATTTCTAATAAACTCATTAGTTTTGTGTTTTATATTTAATCTTAACAGATACTTATAATGAATAAGAATTAATTTAAAGTTAATACATTTGTTATTCTTAATTATAACTATCATCTACATTTGTTTCTAAATCATTGATTGAAAGTATAATAAATGAAAGTAAAATATAATTGAATAATTACTATTGTTATTTCTGATTATAATTTAAAGCATTTTAATCAACAATTTGTGTGTTTTAAACTAAAATTATATATTTGTTATGACTTGTGAATGAAAATTTTAAAGGCATTAATTTTATTGACTTATAATTTAGTAAATGTATTGTATTATAAAAACTTATTGACGCCAGACTTAAAAGAAAAAAAAACTATTTGTAATAAATTATTTAATATAAGAAAATTTTAAGTATATAATTTGTTTTTTTCATAAACTGTTTTTGACGAAGAATTTTATATCTTAACATATTGTGATTAAACCGAATGACAAAAAAATCAAATTATAACATTGATTTATACATTAAATTTGTTAATTTAAAGATATTGTTCTGTGTATGCTATATTTGGGTGAGTTATTATTGTTTATTTCTATAAAATGTCATTCATTAATTCTTAGTATTCATAAAATAATTTTTAAGATGTTTTAGAGATTTAATGTGTACAATGTTGAATAAACTATAAGCATTAAAACCAATGAGTTGTCTGTTTTCTAAACTCACCTTTAAGCTTTCGATGAATTTTCTGTGTTGAAAGCAATCAATATTGACATTGATCAATAATAAGTATTGAATAGATTTGATTATTAATGAATGTTAGAAAAAAAAAAAAAATTGCGTAAATAATCTTTACAGCCCAATGTGTACATGACAACTCAATGCATCGAAATTTTCATCTTATTGATGATAATTCAGCAATACAGTTTTTATCTAGTGAATATCTATATTTATTCTTAATGATATGTTAGATTGAAAACCAGTTTAAAAATTAAATATAAAAATGAATTATTTAAATTAAACTACAAAATAATGAAATATTCTATCTAGTGTGCATTTACATTGATTCATCGGTTTAATCAACTGATGTAACCATTGTTACAATATAATATTTTTTATTTTACCAATAAATATGAATAATACGAGAAACGTATAATACGTTGTTTTCAATCGAGTCAACCACACAATAACTCATAATAAATAAATAATATATATTATATAAAATTAGTAGTACAAAAACATAAACAACTTAAAAAACAAAAACGAATAATACGTTTATGCTTACACAATGCAGGGAGGACATTTCTGATATGGAACCGTAATCGATTGAAAAATGTATAACAATAAAAATTATTGTCTCGTTAATTTCCTCCTTTTAGATTGCTAGCATAAACGTATTATTCGTTTTTGTTTTTTAAGTTGCTTATGGTTTTGTACTACTAATTTTATATAATATGTATTATTTATTTATTATGAGCTGTTGTGTTGTTGGCTCGATTGAAAAAAGCGTAATATACGTTTCTCGTATTACTCATATTTATTGGTAAAATAAAAAATATTATATTGTAACAATGGTTACATCAGTTGATTAAACCGACGAATCAATGTAAAGTCGAGACACTCACAAACAATTGAAAAAAAATTTAATTGTCACAACAGGTTAATCGATTAAATTTCATTGTAAGGTAGCTGTAGCCACGGAGTCCACGTTTACGATTTGTCGTTAGTACACTGTATATTTTGAATTAATAACATATTAATAAGACAATAAAAAGTATTACACAATAATATAATAAACACACACGTACAATTTTATTATAATAATATTGTTATTATGATACTAGCGAAGATTTTTCGGTCGTAGCGACATTTAAAATGACAAAATTGCGATAATCAACGAACGACAACTAAATTAACACTTTCATGTATGAATTTTTATTTTTTTCCGAGAAAAAATTTTCTTCTGTAAAAAATTATCAGTATTATGGGAAAAATGTATAAAAAAATATTCAAGTTAAACTTCCCCTAAAAGTTTACTAAATTTTAGTTTATGCCAAATATGACACAACGCGTACCAATAGTACGTAGTATGTGCCATATACGGCCACCATGCACTTAATAGCATAATTTTTATTCGTGCCATATTTGGCCTTTATGGATGAAATATTACAATTTGTAATTATGCTATTTTGGAAACATGCACTCAAAATATGTTTTTGTCATTATTGATAGGTCCTTATGCAATGGTCCAAGTGACTTTTATACGTTTTAAAATTTATTTGATAAAAATAACTAACACATTGAATTTGTAAGAATATTTATTAAACAGTCTTAATAAGTTTCTTTTACATAACATTTTGAATGTAAAAATGTATTATAATAACAATATCCTCTTGTTATAACAATAAAATAAATAGTATAATACCTATTATTTGTATCACCAGAAAATATTTCTTCATCTGAAGCAGGGATCTGAATAATTTATGATTTATTAATAAATTAAAAGTTAGTCATTTGAACACTTGGCTGTAATTTTGTTATCAGCTTGTAATTTATCTATTAAACTGTTCAATGCCTTTATTTTCATTTTTAATCTGTAATTTTTTTGTTTTAACACCTTTTCAGCTTTTATTTTATTATCCAATGTTGTTTTGTACATAGACCAAAACATTTTTCTGATTCGGGGCGTTTCCAAATCTTCTTCCTTAAAATCTCCTAAGTAGCGAAATGGTTTTCTTTTTCTAAAAATTAACATTGTATAATAAAACACAAATAATAACAAAGTACGAAAAAAAATTTTACTTTGGTGTAGGTGTAGTGATTGATAAATTTATAGCAACATTATTTTCATCAAGCGACCCAAGTATTATTGAATCATCAAGATCCATTGTAGAATTGGTTGAAAGATTCGAGGTACCACTTGTAATAGTATTTACTATTTCGCTAACTAAAAAAAAATTACTACGAAATTGTAAATATATATTTAATAAAATTTTAGTTTATACCATTTGAATTAAGTTCACTCCCACCACTGTTTTCTGTTGACACATAAAGTACTTCAAATTCTATGATTAAAAATATATTTATGTTTTAGTAAAATTGAATTAATATATTGCAAGCTATTAATTTATTCTTACCATTTAACAAAAATTGACGGTTAATTGTTGATTTTGGGATCGCATTAATTTTAAGTTTTTTGTGTCCCCAAACATTGATTTTATAATCATCATCATCAAAATGTTTACTACATACAACCGATCTTGGATATGGAACAAACCAATTTGGATTTTTAATGGATGCCAACCATTTCATTTTCAATTCAATATCTGCAGGATATCTGAATAAGAAAGTTAATTATTTATTTGTCTAGCATTAAGAATGAGTTTGGTATGAATAATCAATTAATATGTTCATAAAAAAATGTTTATAATTTTTTCTCATATTAAAGTTACTTACTTGTGGAACTTAATACCAGAACCCTTTGAGTGTTTAGTTTTGCAGCTAATTACTGAGCACACAAGAACCATTTTAATTATTAAGACCTGAAATAAATCTAAACAATGTAGGTTAGGTTACACAATATGACTCATGACGATAATTGGCGATTGATATATTGAATTTTATCACTGTACCAACTGTTATAATTTTCATTAAATATCAAAGGAGGGTATAATATTTTGGTTGTTACGTCTTTGGTAATTCTAACTTAGCTCTGTCTCTCTCGCACATATCTTTACTTCAACCGAATACACTGCTAAGATATGATATGCGCGAATCTAGGACATTCGACACCCAGTAATAGGACAATTGACACCGAATATAAATGCATATAATATAATATAGTATAATAATTAATAATGAACGTATATACTTATTATATTAGAATTTAATGTTTGATTGCACACAGTGGCGGCTCGTGTATATGTGCACAAGTGCACGTGCACTGCTTACCCAAACTCAAAAAAAAAAATTAAAAACATAAACCATAATAATAGAACTAAATACCTGTAGTGTTATGAAGATTATTTTTCAAAATATAAATTCAGAATATTATGAAAATAATATAATATTCAGATTTGGTTATTCTGAAGGCCAAACGGCAGGCGGTTGTCCGCGACGGAACTGTATCAGTGTGTGTGTGTGTGTTATAGCGGTGCACACTATTGCTGTGCACGTTTGTACAATGTAAAAATTAAAACAAGTCGAAACACGCAAAATATATGGAATTATTTTAAAATGGAATTGATGTGCACATTCGTTTCTGTGCACATATCAAATTAAATTGTTATCAGCGAATTATGTTCGATGTCGCCGCGCCGTTGCGCGCTGGCATCGGCATTATGATTCATTTTTACTCATATTTGTTTATCCCGATTATCGGCTGATAAAGTTAGTCATTATCTTAAATTCAAAACAACAATCGTGTTTCTGTTTACTATCGACCACCGACGTTAACGTATATTATTATTCGCGCAACTAACGAACAGCAATTAATTTATGCATATATACAGATAAGTTCGTACATATACCTATGTTAAAATTAATATTTTTTTTTTTACCCACCTACATATCTTACAAATTATTTGTGCACCACCTTATGTGAACCTCACGAGCCGCCACTGATTGCATATGATACATACGTACATAATACATGATATGTACATACATTACGAGAATGTTGTTGATATTTTAAAATTTTGGTTTCGGATGAATTGGTCATTACACTACCTTTACAATGCTCCAGTTAATCATTCACTTCACTTTGAAAAACGTACAAGTAATCATTAACAATTGATTTTGTATTATTTCGATTTCATCTATTGAACAATCCGAGTTCATACTGAACGAATAACTTTTAGACTGTGGACCAGTGCTTCCCGAACTTTTTCCACTCACGGCGCCCTTTTTGATCTAAGGTTTTATCATGGCGCCCTTCTCCTAGTCATAGCATGACTAATCATAAGGAAATCTTCAGACCGGATAGTATTTCATGACGGCGCGGCGCCCTTGTACAGACATAGCGGTGCACCAAGGCGCCACGGCGCACACTTTGGGAACCGATGCTATAGACTATTGGTAAGCAGTTACTGCTTACGGCGAAGTAGGTGTCTACTGTAGGCACCTACTCGCCGTTATCGTATTCGTAATCGCTCAGTGTAAATTGTCCACGTTCTGAAAATATCGGGTGCAGAAAGTCCGACATCGACAAAACCGCCGGGTGTCGATTGTTAGAAATACCGATATACGCGGTCCACTCTTATAATATGTCTATGGTCAGTGCCCACCCGGCCTCTCCTGTGAACGCGCCCATGATTACATCCTACGAATACATGCGTCAGGCGAACGGCGGGATCGAATGTTGGAACGCAAGTTGAAGTGGCAAAGCGCAGAGTGTAAACAATAACTTTTCGTCGCCAACCCGGCGATTAACCGGGGGACAACGGATTCGACGTAATGTCGCCCGTCGGCCGGTGGAACGACCTGCGGTTCGGGCGCACGGCTGCGACACGGCAATCTCACGGTCGGTCTAAAGTGGACCTCACACCATCAGTAATACTGACAGTAGAAATATTGACAGTATTTACATTGCTGACAGTGTACTCCTCAAACGGTCAATACAAATTATAGCCAATACTCAGTATTTTTTACTTTCACAGTAGTTTAGATCAATTTTTGATACTGTAACAAACGCTTTTAATTGGTTTTCCTAAATCCGTTAAGAATGATAGCTCTTCAAATAACCAAGATAATGGTTGATAGACGTCGTTTATTCCAGTACCACTTCTTTTTCTGAAGTTGCTTCTAAATGTATTAATTTTTTTACATCTTCAATTGTAGAGTCGTTTTTCAAAAGTTTATAATAAACTATAAGTTTTTTATAGGCAGAATTTTTTTTTATCTCTATTGGAGTACTCTTTACAACGAACATCCCACAATTCGGGTAATTGTTTGTACTCTGAAATAAAGTCACGCAAAATGACCCGATCGCGGAATTCGTGACTAGTGGTTTCACTTCCGTCATCCATCGCAGAGATGCCAATACTGATGACATGTCAATATCGACCTCACACTATCAATATAATCATCAGTAAATAAATACTGACGACTCGATATCCGATTTTTCCATCAGTCATCAGTATGGGTTTTCCATACTGACAGTACATCAGTACTCAAATTACACGATCAATAATACTGTCAGTATCAAAAATATTGTCAGTAATATTGATCGTGTGAGGGCCGCTTAACCTCACCGCGGTAAGCCGGGTTCGCACTACACCGTGACGTGTATTTTACCAGACCGTGTGCTTTGAAAATGTGTGATACCATAATGGTTAGGTTATATATCTTATGGTGATACTATCAAATTTTGGTTACATATTTTCGCAGTTTTTTTTATTAGATATAAAATAATTTCGTAAGTTTCAATAAGTAATAACTGATGAATATTAAATTATATAGTAGACAGTATGTATTATATTATTATTAGGACTCGGAACTTAATGCACTTAAAAAGTATTAAATATGCATGCACTTATGCGCTTAAAAAAGTACAAATATGCTTTAAAAATATGCACTTAACTTTTTTTTAACGCAAAAATGTTCAAAATAAAGATATTATATATACTTATATTTAAATATATATATTAAACATATATATATTACCTATATTTATTAAATATACTCGTACGTAACTATAAAAATGTTGTTAATATATTATACTAAGTTAAATATAATTTCTAGGTATAAATATATATGATAATATAAAACAAAATAAATAATTTGAAATTTGAAATTTTCTTTCAAAATGTTCCCATTAGGGTTTTCATAGTGTCATGAAAATAATTTCAAGGTTACTTAGCAATAAACTGAATATCTCAATAAAATCATGCAAATGCAACACCTTCCGAGCCCTTTGTTATTATGAATAATGTTATCATGGAATATTAAATTATTACTATTAAAATAAATAACCACACGCTCAAAAGTTGGATAAAATCAACTTCACGGTATCTTATGGTTCGTGAGGTAACTTGTGATTTATCATAGGGTATACCTTGATGTAACAATATGGTTCAGCCAATCAGAGATAATTATTTTAGAAGACATGACACGACATGGTGTAGTGTGAACCCGGCTGTAGTTGTGTATCTGCTCAAACCGAAGTGGTAGCATTAAATATGGCGATATCTTATCGTTATTAAATATCTTTTGATCTATCTAACCGAAACGAAATATTTCATCGTGACACCCATACTGCGTGTATCCGTAAATTAGTCATTATCGATATAAATATATTTAAGTACCTACATAAAAGACAAAATGCTTATTTTTTGTTAAATTTTAATTACTAAAGGTTTTTTGATGTGAAACATTTATTACTATGGATATTTATTTATCTATTATGAAAGATCAAGTTCAGACAAAGACGATTTATTATTGTCAGCAGCTGTGATGGACGGCGAAGAAGTAAGGTACTTTAAAGTTATGTACTTATAAGTTACTTGGGTCAGTTCTCCTCATTGATAAGAAATCAAGTTTCCAAATTCATTGGTGCCAACATCGAAAAAAAAATTCTCACAAATTCACCCTCTACAGTGTCATTAACATAATAATAAAAAAATCCCTGAATTTCAAATTTATTTATTTTCAAATTCAAATTTCAAAACCAATATTTTTGAAAAAATTAAAAACAGGTCTGTTGTATTGATCCATATATGAATGGTCACAAAATATTATAGCTTGAAACTTAATAATTTGTAATAAATTACATACGAGGCAAAAATAAATGATTGCCGTCATTTAAATTTCAAAACCTATTTAAGGCAACATCAACGGTGATCGAACAGTCGCAAGGTGTCGCGACTAACGACAAGTTTTTATTTAAAAGTAAATTGTGTCTTTTATTGTGAGACTTTGAAGTTATTATATTCTAATTTGGTTTTAAACTATAAAATGTTTGTTTTTCATTTTTTTCCTAGTAAATTGGGAGTATCAAATCCTAGTGTGTGTACTGAAGCGTTTGTGGCGATATAAAACTTTTGTAAAGTAACAAGATGTTTCTGTACTTACTTTCTCATCCAGTTGGTACTCGTTATCGTGGTTAGTTGTTCGAGAATAAAAATACCTTAGAGTTATAAAATATAAATCCTATGGTACTTTTAATTTGTCCAGTACTCGTTATCGTGGTCACCAAAAGGAGAATTAAATAAGTTTTAACCGAAAGGTATCGATATTTACTCTTTGACGGTCTGAGACTTAATAATCGAAATATATCTGTTATATATGTCAAGCCTTTGCGTGGCGTATACGACAGGTCATACTGTAAAATACTATAAGTAGATCTATGTGAAAAATGTTCGTAATGTCATCAGGTGATCGACAAAATGCGTATGAAAATGTAAAATTTCTAATTGTTTGTCAAATTTAAAAGAAAATTGTTAAAATAAATTAAATTTCCACTTTAATTATTCACATCTGCTTAGATATTATTAGAAGTTATTAATATTTTCGAGAGAAATACACCAGTGCTTCTACAAAAGTAAAATCACCTAAACCATTTAATACAACAATGGCTGTATTAATAAGCAATAATAAGAACCATTTAAATGTATCAATTACGTCAAATTGTAAAAAAAAAATAAGATTAATAACATAAATAAAATAATTAGGTAATTGAAATAACTCATCAACTAATTAACTTCAGTCTATGAAAATATTTTTTAAAAATCATGAATATACACTTAACTAAAAAGATGAAGAAAAACAATATGAACATTATGTTATTTTATGAAAAAGTATTAATAAAGGATAAAATTTGATTTGATTTATTGATATTTCAATATTATGACATACATAATATTTAAATATAAATTATAATATTAGTGTTGATACCTACCTACTCCTTATAAGCAAATCTTAGTTGGAAGTATGGAGTATAGTACATAAATATTTATAACATTCAGTGGCATATCCAGGTATTTTTTTAGCGGAGCACTAATCAGCTACATATTACATTACAAAATAAAACTATAATAGCATTAATATATGAATTAAAAAACCATAAACTAAACTTACAACTAAATTAGATTTTTAATTTTAGTCGTCTAGCTTTACCAGTTTACCACTATTGGAAAACTTATCTATTACCATATCATTCATTATATTTACGTATCTATAAATGGAAAAAAGATCAAGCCTATAAGCCATAACTCAGGTGTAGTATTCTGAAGATATTTTTTCAAACTCCTTAACTTCTGTCAGAAGTGGGAGTTAAAAATAGAAGTATTGACTGTAATCAAAAGAATTGAGACAAATTTAAATACCATACAGTATACACCAATAGAAAATTATAGATAAACAGTATTTGAGATACAATATGTGATTGTTCAAGAGGTGGTGGTGTGCTAAATGCAATAAATAATAAATACTATTCTCGTATGTTACCCTTACCTCCCTGTTCCGTAGAACATTTATTTATTATTGTCAAAATTAATTTCATTTACTATATTTTAGGTAATGCTTATTTTCCTCCTTGCTCACCTATAACGTTATACAATAAAAACTTCGATATTATTAATGATCTATTAATTTCCTATCCCTACGTTATAAATGTAATTTTAGTAGGTGATTATAATACGCCAAATTTAAAATGGTAATTCACTTCTCCTTCCTGTTCACCTAACTATTTAAATTTAAATCAATCGTCAGTAGACTTTCTATCTAAAATTTCATTTTTAAATTTATCCCAATTCAATACTGTTTTAAATAAAAATAATGCCATTCTTGATCTAGTTCTAATATTGATAATATTACAGTTTCTAAATTTACGATTCGCCTTGTTCCTTGTGATGTTCACTTATCGTGACCCATTCTTAAAGCTTACGCGACCCAAAATTGGGTCGCGACCCACTGGTTGTAGACCACTGATCTATATTATAGACTATGTTCAATAAACGAGTTATATCGTAATCACGATATGTCAAGATTACACTCTGACCTGAGATTTGCCACTGAACACCTTCATCGCCGTTCGTTAATACGACGATTTTAATTTTAATTGTTTCGCTGGTACTAGCCGAAATGTATTGTGATTTGAGGTGTGTTACCAATTAATAAAAATGTAACAATACAGTTTACCTCGAATTAATTTAGTCCACAAAATCATTATAGAAATAAAAAAAAAAAAAACCCATTCATATAAATCATACTATACCGAAAATAAACACACAGTGAGGTAGGGTTAGTGAACTTTAAGGTTAAAAATTCTCTATAAAAAAAAATATGAAGCGTGATAGTGATATACGAAACGAACAAAGATGGCCGGAAAAATGTTCAGAAAAGTTAAACGAAAGAATGTTATATTCAAATAGATAAACAACTGTTTTATATTATTGACATTGATATTTTTTATTATTCGCTAAAATTATGTCCGAAACGTCACGTCGGATATCATACTCATCGTTGTCAAACAAATAGTTGTGCAAATGCATGAGTGTAAGCGTAGTCTTTTATAGACTTATTCATTACCTTACGAGTATACTACTCACCGATTAACGAATAATAACAGTGTGTTACAAGACGGGCACAGTGCAAGCCACAGGTGAAGCCTGCATTTCGTCATTACTGAATTTGCCTTTCCCCGCACGAGCTATAGATATTAATTAGTTAATAACAAACACTAATTCGGATGTTTATGAAAATGCATGTTTTTTTCTATTTATTCAATTTAATGCTAATATGAACACAAATTTAGTTAATGTTCTACTGAATCAAATACTATTTTTATTTTGCATATTTTTGCATATGTAATGGTTTTGTTTTTAATTACATATTTTGGGGTTTTAAAAATAAAAATGCATATTTCAGTACATTTTTTTAAAAAACAATTTAAAATAACGAACTATACAATTAATTCCACCAGTGGCGGATCCAGGATTTTCTATTTTTTTTTTTTTTTTTTTTTTTTGGGGGAGGGGTTGAAAAATGTTTTCCATTGGGATATTTTTTATAACATTGCAATCAGTAATAGATAATGAATTAAGATAATAGGAAGTGAAATAATAGCTTGGAAATTATCGTGTAAGACATTTAAAAAAAAAAGATGCAAATGCATTGAAATCTGAGCCCTAATTATTATGTATATTAAGAGGGTATCTATGACTAGCACAAAAAAAAAATATTCATTCATATTAAAATCAATAAGTATCTAATTTCACTCAAAATTAAGTATAGAAATTCATCGACACTCGGAAAAACATACATGATCTATTTCAAAGCCCTGAAATAAAAGTAACATTATGTAGGTAAAATTTTAATCCAAACCCAATCTAATTAATTAAGATTACATAATTTATGTGGATACAGATTTATTATAATATATTTAGTGTATTTAAATACAATAAATTAAAATAAAAAATTTGGTTGGGTAATGTTTAGATGCAGCTTTGACGAATTGCATAATGGTAATATTGTTTTCTTTGAATGCCGAAATTATGGTGTTTAAATATTTTCGGCGTGATTTTGATTGTTAATTTCTAAGATTATTAGGTTCATTAATGCTGTTTAATTTAATTTAAGTGAATGATTGATTGTCTTATAGAGTTTTTGTAAAGTGATGTATATTTGGATGTGTGTTCTCAAAGGAGTTTATGTGTGTTTCAGGTCAAAAATACGTACTGGTGGAATTTACATTTTTTTTTTCAGGTAAAAAAAAATTATCAGTGGAATATACATATTATTAATTCAATCCTAAAATCGACTAACTGTAAATCGATGGAATTTACAATCGCCCATTAAATCATACAGATAAATGTCTTTATCGGAAATATAGGAATAGTATATAAAACAGATTCGTGCTTCCCGGTTTATCTGTTCCTTATTAAGAGGTATTTGAACACACCAGACTACCTAAACCTGTCCACGTCCGTTATTTAGAGGTTCCGCTTTTTAGAGGAGCGTAATCCATTATTTTAAAAAGGGGCTATGCCGGGGACGGAAAATTTGTCCGTTATTGAGAAGTGTCCGCTAATCAGAGGTATCCGTTAAGAGAGGTTTCACTCTTTTGTATTGATAATCTATACGAACAAAAGTGTTTGAAGATGACATTTGTATGTGAGATATTCCAACGCGTCGACATGCACACATTATCGCGAACGTAATTAACTTATGCTGGAAATGTGGTTGGTACCGAATTGGTTCTCAAGCTCCAAACCCATGTGTCGAATTGGTTTTCGTCTGAAAAAGGTATTTTATTAGGTATAGCCGAATTGGTTACCGTTTAATTACGCACATTTTCCTTTTCAATTTTACAGGCTGAAGACTATCAATTTTAAAGTAGTCTTGGTTAACAATGTGCGTTAATGTGTGTTAAAAAAAAAAAAATGATAAAATATATACAATTTTAAATCATTGATTTGGAAGTCATCACTTAGGTGTACGAAATACAAATAATAAATCATAATAAATACAATTAAAAACCACTGATTTGCAAATTTGAAGCTAACTTTCTTTAAATATTCATTTCTCATAATCTTCTCATTAATGTCCTCAGTCATACAATTTTCCAAGTATTTGCTATTTCTTAGCTGTTTGCTAGTAATTTGCTATTCTCTAGTAATCTATAGTCTATTATACTTCTTATCGATATTATAATTGTGTCTATATGTCATACATAAAGCTTTTAAAATTTTGTTTTTTTGTTCTTTATACACTGGCCCGCTGAATTTTAATTTTTAATAGTGTAGGTAAATTGTGTTAAAAATTAAAACTGGCACTATTTTACCTGTACACAAATGGGAACAAATTCAACTATACCTAATACAATATATTTTTTTAAAAAGGAACCAATTCGGTTACTCCCGGAAATGTTATTATCAAATCGTTTACCATCATAAATCGTGCACACACAGCTCCTAAATAATAATAACAACATTCGTTGAAATATTGAACTACGTGTTAACTGTGTTGCGTATCCAACGCGCCTTGCAATACCAACGAACATAAAAAGTATATTGATCCGATTTAAAACAAACCATTTTTACACGCAATATGTGAGCACATTGAGGAAATACTTCTCGAACCCAAGTACGTATTTAGGCAGTTACAAAATCCTATTTTTCGACCACAACAAAAATAATAATAATAATAACAACGCACGGTTAAGTACCTTGTGCGAATACATTTTTCAAGGAACAAAGGACCCGTCGAATATGCAAATGAAAAAATAGAACGAAATAAAAATACGAGTGAATATAACATTATTATTCGTATATATTTGACGGGCGATTCGTGTTCATCCTCGGTCCATCAACAGAACGAATAAAAATAAATTATACTTCCGATTGAAAACCGTAAACATCGCGATGACCAACGGCGAACGAAATGAACACTTATCAACGCATCCGAACCAATCCGAACGGTTGAATAGATAACTTCGTAAAGGATATTGTTGTCAACATTTTGTTGTCCGCGTACAACGAGCGCCCGAAGGAATCGTCCGCTCCGACTTGTACCAGTCGTACCGCGCGTTTTGAAATAAAACAAATATTGCGCGGACTGTGCGTGGTTAAAAAAAAAAATCGATTTAATTCATAGTATAATGTAATAATAATAATAATAATAATAATAATAATATTAACGGTGCTGGTGATTTATAAAAACATTAAAACGATGTACATCGTGTATTAAATCCTTATCGACTATCAATGAACATTTTTCGTTTGGTTTTTTTTTTTTTTTTGTTTTATTAAATTTATTTAAAATTTTAATAATATGCATGATAATATTTTACGTACTTATATAATTTTTTTACACGTATTAAAATGTCCATAGTAATAATAATAATAATAATAATAATAATAAAATAATAATAATAATAATAATTGTGTATAATTAACTAGAATGAATTGCCTAGAATAATATGATTGACGGGCGTTGTACTCCGCGCGCACTCGTTGATGGCTACGTCTGCGGTTTGGTTATGTTGTCTTGTTGTCCGTCGACCGAGTTCGGGCTGTTCCGGTTACCCGAATTCGACGATTGGATGTGTTGAGATTCACTTGTGTCCATCCTGTCCATGCCGTCGGTCTGATGGACTACGCTGTTGAAGTATCTGTCTGCAAAACGAACAGAAAACACTTAACAAACGTTAAACAGCGGATCACGAATGCAAACGTTATACACAAATATTATCGTTATCATCATAGCTCGTCGTATCTACTGGAAACATTATCCCGATGCGCACTGCAGCGCTGATCAGAGGCGGCTTCGGATCATGCATTTTTGTGGTTCACTGAACAACCAAAAAGTTTGGGGCGGGTGTCGTTTTAACGGGCGGGTACTTGGTCTTGGGGCAAATGGCAGCTGCAGGTAATATGAAATTGGTAATTCGATAGAAATCGGATAAATGTATGTACCTGTTATGATTTTTTTGGTAGGCGGGCGGGTGATATTAACCACCAACTGAAAAATGTCAAACCGCTTATGGGGCTGATTTACAAACGGTTCGTTGTTCGACGGTAGACGGTATATTTTTTAAAAACTGTTTACGTTTCGGTGCAGTTCGATAGAGAGGCATAGCGAACTGTAAAGAATACGGACACGAACAATTTATTAACGACCCACCGTACCCCATCAATCGATTTTCAGTGTTAGTTTTAGTCATTTTTTTCACTGAACCGTAGTAACTGCAATCCGACAACGGTTTCAGCCTTTGCATTTCGTTAGAATTTCGGGGGTGTTGTGGCAGAATGTCAGCGTTCGGTTTGAAAAATGTACACGTGCACAAACTCAACGTCAGCAACATGACGTCCAAGACATGATACTTATAAGTTTTGGTTGTAATATTTTTTGGGTTGTGTTTTCGATCGTCGAAATGATGTACCAGCTAAACACATACGAGTCGTGCAGCGATAATAGCGTAGTAACAACAATAATAATAACGATAATAATAATAATAATAATATATGCAAACCGTCGTCGATCAACGTGCCGGCGTTACCCTGACCACCGTTCCCGGACATCAGTGGCGTCATCATGTAGTCCTCGTCGAGCGTGATGAACGGCTGCCCGGACGAGCACTGCGTGTTCCACCGCGGCAACGTGGTCTGCGAGTGTCCGCGCGACCTGCCGCCACCGCCTCCTCCTCCACCGCCGCCCGAAGACGACGAAGGGCTGCCGCCCGGGTTGGACAGCAGACTCAGGTTGGTGGGACTTATCACTCCGGATACCGCGTTCACGGTGCCGATGTTCGAGTAGCTGAATAACTGTCGCACGCGCGCGTACAAGGCACAACATAGTTACACAACAATCGTATTGAATGGAACGGTGACGAGGGGGATGATGGGGAGGATATCGTGAGACGTTGCGCACCACCGGCCGACGACGGGTGTGGGCAGCCGTGGGTGGCGTGTTAGTAATAGCGTGTCATGCTGTTGCGAAGCGTGTCGACAGTGCCGTGAAAACCGGATGTGTATTGCACATAGGCCCGAGCCTCGTAGTACAATATAGGGCCTTATCAAAAGGTCAAATCGACTGCCCCAACGAAAAAAGGTCGTAACTCGACTATTTCCAATATTGAATTAGTACTGCCATCTAGTGAAGGATTTCTTACTGTATCTCTTACGATAACGGTCGTAATTTTATTTAGTTAAAGAGAATATAAATAAAATGATTTAATAATGTACTGAAACCATGATTTCCAACGAAAACAATAGTATGTTCAGATATGACTACAGTCGTACATATACTATTATTATTTGGTTTCAGTAGCCATCGAGGAAAAAGGTAGTAAATAAATATGGGTCTTATTATAATAGCCACCCACCCACGAAAAAGACTGTAAAAGTATAGATACGTATTTTTTTTATAGAAAATATCCACGAAAAGGGCCTTAAGTATAGATACTACTTTTTTTTATAAGTGGTATGTCTTAATTAACCCTGAAGTTGTATTTTTTTTTTTTTAACTGAAATTATCCTTCATTCTATCAGTGATATTATTTTTGAAAATGTACGTTTAAAAATGGAATTAGAATATGAATTGCAATGCTAAATTTATTTATACTGAAAAGTTAGAAAAAACGAGTTATGACCTTTTTCGTTGAGACAGTCGAAATGCTCAAAAATGTATAACGATAACGGGTCTCAAGATTTTGATTTGCACGTAGGCCTTGGGTAGTTCAGTTACGGCACTGTGTGCCGACCGGGAACGAGTGACGAAGCAAAAGTCGTCCACTCGTCACTTTCTTTTCTGCGGTCGGACGCACGTCCCTCGCACGGGTCCGGTGGGCGCATCAGATGGGGACTGGTCGCGAGCATTCCAGGCTCGTAGCCACGGAGGGGGGAAGGAAATTATATCCCTGGACCCAATAGTTTCCTCCTCCAACAAGTATTTTAAACGTTCGTGTGCATTAAGTAGTGGTATGTTTTGCGTTATATTGTTTTTTCTAATTTCCCCCACCCTCCTTTTCATTACAGTTTGGTTTGCCTACCCGATGATTTGTTCTGGCTACGGGCCTAGAGCTTTCGACCCCGTTGGTAGGCTGCACTGAGCCCACACTGCGTTAACCAATCAGCCCGCACACCATCCACGTATGGGCGTGCGTCAAGGCGCGTTCAAACCTGTGGCGGCTCGCAACCACCGCATCTACCGGGGCCGGTCAGTAAGATCAGTGCTCAGTAGTTGCGTATCTGAGCAGTTACAAGGTAAAGCGAACGAAGCCGGAGCAATTTTTTCGCGGATGGTTTTAATCGATCTGCCCCGGTAACGTGTCGGTGTTCGACTCGCCTTTGGTTCAAACCGTGTGTTAATTGTTTTGATTACGTCAAAAAGCGCGAAAAACGTGTTATCGTCTCTCGTTCGGCGAGAAGGTGTTACGCGTGCACATTGGGCAAGCCATCGGAACAAGCGCACAACATATTACCGTATTCATTCTGTTAACAATTGTCCATTCGGGTCTCTCACCTGACCATACGGCGTTCGATTACTCTTTTCGAAGCTACAACATTTTCGGTTGTTCGAAATGTCTACTGATCCGTTTTCGGAAACACTTTGGTAACGTTCGGTTGCAGGTACCTGATACAAAATCGTTTTCGTTTTCGCGTAACAATTCGTTCTGTAGAAATCGCACCGAATCTACAATAACCTAAAAACTAATCCATCATCTACACCGCTATTGCAAGTTTCGTTCTTAAAACCAGAAAACGTAGTTATCGGTCCTGGACGAAGGAATATATCGTAACCAGATCAGTGGCGTCATTTGGAGAGGAGGGGCATGCATTTTCCACAGCCTAGGGTTCAGCTATTCCAAAGTCTGCACATCATCACAGTATAAATACGTCTTTTATAAAGACATTGACATATTGTTAGCCGGAAAAATGGGACGCGTACTTGTACGGATACTTTCACTTGCGCACAAAGTACAAATCATTATATTTTTGTACTGATTCGACATTTTGATAAAATTAGCAACCGAGTCGGCAATTTAAAATTATAAAGTATGCCGACTACTTCAGTAAGCACTGAAATGATACCACTGATCTGGATGGGTCGCGTGAGTGATACCTTATGGGGACGAGTTGAGTTAATTCCTCTGCAGAATTTAATGAAACATGTTTAGTTAACTAAAGTTATATATTTCCTGATCGGGTGACGTTGATATTGAATGCGTTCCCACAATAATACTCTACAACGGCTGTTGCACTTGGATTATGCGAATAAATAAAAAATGTTTAAACATGAATAAATCGATTGAAACTGTGTTGTTCCATTGTATTCGTGTATTTAAGTATTCAAAAATTGATTCCTATAACTTTTGGAACATTATTGTTGTTTGTTTTAATAATTTTTCTCTCGATTTCGGAAAACTCATTTATATAAAAAAAAATGTTTAGTACAACGAAGAAAGTTGTATTATCTAGTAGACGAAATGCAGGAGGAAACATTATTTAATTAGCTTTTATTGATGGTAAGGAATAAAATATAAAAAATCAAAAAGTTTTCGAACGGACTTTAGTGCACCGCTATTCACCACGGTTGATAAGTTTAAAGCTACAACGCCGATCGTTTAAGTCTACGGAAAAACATTCTCGAATGCACGTATGTTATTACTGAAATATATAATTATTAATTTCTTATTTCTAGCTCGGAAAACTGATGATATGTGATACATTTGATATTCGATCACTAAGTGTATTATTATTGCATATTTTGAGTCGAGTAGGGCGTGAAGTACTGGTTTCAAGTCTATGCTTGAAGATTGTCTCTAAGAAATTGGGGGCGTGATGATTAGGTTTAATAAAATTTACGATTACGGATAAGTATATATTAGACGAAAAAATAATTGCTCAATCCGTTTCTTCGAAACTTTTACATAGTCGTGGTGTTCAGCGAAATCAGCCTAAGCGACTTAAATGGTTGAAAAAAAAAAAGCTTAGAGCGTTGTCGAAGACGATTTCTTTTCGTTAAAAAAAAAAAAAAAACCTGTTACGACTGAATAATTATAATATATAAATAAATAAACAAATAGAATATACGAATAAATAAATAAATGCTTAGCTTGAAGTATTATTGTATTTATTTTTATACATAAGCTATTTGTTTATTTATTTATGTATTAACTTACGAGTATTAACCATTTACTAATTTTTAATTTAATTTAATTTTATTGAATAATTATAATAACTAACCGACGTTCGAGGATATTAAACAGAGGTAATACAGATGAAATAATGTATATTGGTTTTTTTTTTTTTTTTTTGTGCGTATATGAGTGTATATGTACAATTATATATTCTATAAGGACTTCCAATATCACAAAACAGATCCTATTCGTAACTACATATTTATACATAAATATATAGTCTCACAAAAAGAAATATAATATAATATCTTATACTTTGGTAGTTAAAAACATATATCGGTCTTACAAAATAATAATAATAATAATAATAATAATAATAATAATAATAAGCATACATTTATATATATAAATTATACATGTATTTGTTATATATGTACGTATCGATGGTGGAATTTTGTAAGATTTAATGTTTCATGATCGATTTGAGTACGAAACGAACTTGTTGGGTGTAATCGTTTTTTTCAAAAGAAAACAATTTAATAATAATTAGAAATGTAAGTCATAATTATTGCTGGACGTAGGTACACGTCAAACGCTAAAACGATTTTTGTTTTAAATACAATAAAATTTTACATTAATACATATATAATATTATTATTATTATTATTATTATGAAGCGTAAACGAATAAATTATTATGTAACACACAAATCTATTAACAAACAGAAACAATAACGAAAAAAGAAAAAAAAACATAATATGTATATATATATATATCCATCTAAATAATATTATTTCAATACAGAAATACACAGAGTTAATCGATAATATTTATATACATGTAATAACTGTGTACATAGTTAAATCGTAAAAAATAAATATGAATAATAAGAGTCACTTCCCTAGTGCAACGCAGACGTAACACATCGTAACGAGGATCAATGGAGGAGCCAATATCGTACAATCGTTTTGTACACACGGTAATGTAATTGAAAATAATGGATCACAATTATATTGAATTCCTGTGTATATTTATGCAATTGAAAGGTTATGGGTAAAAACAATAAATGTCAATATTCCTAAACTGTTTAGTTGTAAAGTTTTAGACCTCAAAGAACTAAGAGCAAAAGTACGAAATAATAATTGTAATGCAGTTTTATAACTAATTTTCGAACAAACGGCAAGATGATATAATTATCAAATTTTTTTTTTTTTTTTTTTACTATTACCGTTTTATGCCGTAGCCCTGCAATTATTGCCAAAACGTTCGCAGATTTTCAACAAGGCTTGTTTCGTCTACCGTGTGTGCACTGACCGGTCCGTGCCGCGTGATTCGGGTATATCCGGATGGGAGGGACAGGGAGAAACTGGTGAGTTGTTCGACGAAATTATTTTATCATCTTCTCGAGGCGGTTACAACACGACCTTGTGCGAAGGGCGACGAAAAAAGAATGCAGAGCCACGGCGCGATGTACCGCAGCGGAGATGTTCTAGGGCGCGTTCGGGGAGAGAAAATCGGGACATCGCCTATCAAGTTCGCCTACCACCGTTCCGGAATCCTCTTCGATTGCGTTTCCGATCGATCGGTCATCGCGAGCACATTTTATAATCGCGTCGTCGGATCTACGGAATGCTTGCCGACCGTCGCTAATTTAATTAGCTAGTTTTTTTTAGTTTTATTTAATCGCTAGTTTAATTTAACGCGGAACCGGTTCTGGATTTCGTTTATATCGATCGGTCGCGACTACGAATCTCGTCCCCGCAGCAGTCGTCACGCGAAACCTGGGGCGAGATCTCTTGCCGAAGGATGTGTTCGACTCCCGTCGCGGCGGCGTATTGCCCCGACGGTTTCCCGCAAGCTTGTTCCGGGACAGAGGGCGCTGGCGTGTTCCGCGGTCCTGTGACGTCGGTAAGATTCGAAATTATTTTATTCGTTCAGTTTTTATTTATTTTTTTTTAAAGTCGCGCGCAAGACGACGACAAAACGATTTCGGAAGAATTGTGAAAGGGCGACGGAGGAGAAGAACGGCGAAGAAGATTAATACGAATGTTTGTTATTTTTCGATTAATCCGAACGAAACGCGCGTTACCCTATACGCGGTAAACAGGAATTTCTGGTTCGTGTTCGCGCGGCGTAAACTTTTTCTAATTTTTTTTTTTTTTACTTAGCGTCCAACGCGTTCGTCTTTCTTCTCGTTCGAATCTCGCGTCGGGATTAATTCCGAAAACGTTGCGTACGACAATCTCTCCGGTGCGAATAATTATAACGCGGTCGTAAAACGTTTCGATACGCGTACACGACATTCGGTACGTTCGCAATAACACGTTTATTTATGTGAGTAACGTGCCGTTATGCCGCGCGCGCCGACGGTAAGGTCAACGGGAATCAATGAAATTCTTGCGAACAGCGCAGTTGCGTTGCGGTATCGCGAAACGAATTTAAAAACGGCCGTATTACACGTTCAAGCGGTTTTCGTTCAACCGTAATCGAAGAATACAAGAGGTAGGAAAATCATTAACGTCTAAAAAAGATGTTTTTTGGAGTGCAAAATATTGCGAATCGAACAAAACGCATTGGGTGTTCTAAATCGACCGGTAGTAATCGAAAAAATGATTCCTATGTGATCGCTGTCCAAAAGCCGATAAGCAAAACACTGGCGACGATTTGCAAATCAATCGATATAATAAATTATGTTTGCCGACGTCCAGGCACGTTACGAACGATTTCATTGCGTTTTGGGGACGAATTTTTGATAAAAATAATTTTTTTTCAAATTTGATATTCTATTACAGCAATAATAATAACAACGAATGGAAAAAGAATATAATGATGTGATGATGACAAATTTTGACTGCAACAATGCTGTTACGTCTATATTATTAGAACATCAGTCGAGGTCGACATCCAATAACAGTTTTGCAATAGCACCTATATGTACACAACTAACTTAATTAATAATAAAAATAATAATAATAATAATAGTATTATTATGCTTAAACATTACAATAATAATGATAATAATAAAAATATAATAACACATGGACTTATACACAATCATAATATACCGAATACATAACTGAATATTATCTACCGTTAATATATATTATATTTATTGCACTTTACTATATACACACTTATTGTACATTTACATTTTACGGATTCACTTCATTATAATTATTATAACCTAACGAAATGGCACATTATTTTATTACGTGTATTCGCACATGTATTAATGTTTTTTTTTTAAATTTTTATTTTACAATAAATATTTATGATTTTCTGGTATCAAATAGTTAAATCTAACGATTATAAAAACAATTTCGTTGTGCGCAATGTCACATATACATATTTATACATACGAAAGCTATATGAAATCGCATGTAGCACAATAAGATAACGGACAGCACATATATTATTAATATTAACACGATGTTACATTAAAATGCGTACAAACAAAATGTAATCAATTTTTGTTAAATGTATTCTAAAAAAAAAAAAAAAATGTTTAGGTTCAAACATCTCGTGCGGTTAAAAAATAAAATTGATATAGTTTAGATGGTAAATAAAAATTTAAAAAAAAAAAAACACAACAACAACAATGTACTAAAAGGCGAGGAAAAATTACTAAGCAAAGCTTATGTGTAAAATGTTATAGATATTATTGTATAAAACGAAGAGCGAACGCATGTTTGTGTATACGAGTAATTTGGTGTGCTCATTAACCGATCGGATTGATCTTGTTTGATTTGCATCAGAGCCCGCGGAACGTATAGATTTATTTGCAATTTGTCTTAGGCGATAGCAACTGTGACGTTTTAACTATCTCATCAACACAAGTTTTAGGCACTTTTAATCGGCGCGAGATTTTAAATTTAAGAAAATTCCAGAGATCTTTAGTACTATCCTTTAACACATTATGATAAGTGTGATCTAAGGTCGCGCCAGCCTTAGATATAAGAATTTACTTATATTACTGACATCGTTCGCGTCTTCGTTAGACTTTTCGTATCTCATATACACATAGAAAGAAGGGCTTGGTAATACGTAACAAAGTTACCGGTAAACGATGTAAAAAAATGTGTGCGAAGAGATGGTTTTTCTAATATTGTTGTTATTGCGTTAAAACAGACGAATAATAATAATAATAAAAAAAAAAAAAACAGAACAAAACAAAACGAAAAAAAAAAAAACAAACAAATAAACAAACAAATCGAAAACCAGTTAATAATTTGACGGGTTGTAATCGTGAGCTGGCAAGTTGAACGTATACGGTACCTGGCCGTGTTGTATGTGCGAGAAGTGGTAATCGCGGTTGGTGGACACGGCGAATGGGCTGCCGGTCACCACGCTGCGACCACCGCCGCTTCCGGACAACTGCGATTCGGAAAGTTGACTGTTCATCGGCGGCGGGCTGTGGTCGGAATCCCTTCCGCCGCCCGGTGATCCGTCTCCACCGCCACCGCCGCCCATGGGTGGCGTGTTGGAAGTTGGCGGCGAGTTTGATGGCGCGATGGTCAGTTCACCTACAACAACAATCCGTTAGTATTCGATATTGCATTAATTCGCCTCTCAGAAAATTGTCCGTGTGATACGGAACGATACGGGATCGTCGTTAAAGCAGTTACTATAATTGTTGTCCCGTTTGGACAATGCCGGATCGGGCATCCTTATTGACCGATTTTTACTAATGTCCAAACACAGTTAGTATACTTTACCACACCGTGCACAGTGTGTTCACAAATTTAGGGAACACTGGATTTCTCGGATCATATTGGAATAAATCGAATTATTTTTACAAGTTAGAGGTATGTAAATATACATTTCGAAATGTATTTAGAGTTGTGTATTTTATATCACTATCTTGTAAAAATTCGATTTATTCCAATATAATGTGATCGAAAAAGGTAGTGTTACCTAAATTAGCGAACACACTATATATACATATGTCTATATTATAGTTTGAAATGTTCAGTCATTTCACCGTAGTTTAAGTACAGTTATTGATGATTATGATGATGACTAATACATATAATGTATATTATGTTATAAAAAAAAAAAATGTTTAGTAACCTTTATAATAACTCGATAGTAATAGTTACGATTTAAACTATATTCATTAAAGGGCAGTTTAAATATTAACTATTTAACTATTTATTTTTTATATTAGGTTATTATATAGATTACGAAATAATTTTTTTTTTCAACATATAATATACTATATATTTATCAGTTATCAGCATAGATATCAATAACTACAATTTTCATTAAAGGACTGATCGAATAGAATAACGAAACACATGGTATATGAAGGTGTCTTTATAGACTTGCGCAAGAACAGTATTTCACAGCAAAATATTATGGGACGTATAATCATAGGTAAACGGAATGACAGGTGTGCCCGGTTATCCTATGAAATGTTGTTAATTGAGCTTTACAGTTTTAAGTCTAAAAGTAAGGGGCCGTATTTTAACTGATGTCATTAAAACGAAGTGTTATTTATTTTAGGATATTTGGTAAAAAATAAATTATGTTTCGTAATAGACAAAATAAAATAAAATTTTCTAAATTTTCGTGCAAAAACTTATTGTAATAATATACACCTAGTTATATATGTTCAGCAGTAATGGACTACAAAAGTACAAATCATATATAATCATCTGAGAAAAATATTCGAGGTTCAAAGAAAACATATTCATTGGGGCTAATATAGGTACCACAATGTTAAATAAAAAATTAAAGTTATATTTATTTAATTATTTATACTTTATAATTTATAAAATATACCTTTACATTTTAATAGGGCCCAAAAATGTAGTAGGCACACCCTGAATTACAGGTCTACCGTACGCCTTTTACATCATATGTGTGCTATGCGTATAATTTTATTCGTATCCAGCGTTCGTTTACATTTCGGATCGGATCCTTTTTTTTTTTTTTTTTAAATTTAGCAACCTACAATGTAGTTGACTCGGAAAACCGACAGCGATCGCGCGGAAAAATCTATTACAAGTCGATGCAAGTCGTAAATGGAAAAACGTATTCGATGAAATCGAAAAAGCAATCTGCGATTAATATAATAAATATATTTGTTTGTTTGTCGGGGAACGTGTATAACGTATAGGTAAGAAAAATAGGACACGTTAAAAGGCTGGGCGCGTGTGGGCGAGTGTACGATGTTTTGCGGTTGTACGCGGTGGCAGAGTGCCATGATATTCCGAAATCGATTACCGTACACACGATTTCGGGTGACCTTTATTCCCATCCTCTTCGGTCTGGCGCATAATATGAACGCAGAAGCGAAATATTTCCTCAGCGGCCGTATAATATTTACCGATAACATAATATTCGTGTCGTATATTGAAATTACACATGAGCTGGAACGTCAATTCGCGATGCGGTTTCGCGTTCGCAGAACGTAAACATGTATAGCAAATCATTATCCTTTCCCGCCTTATGGTCCGCTCAAACCGAAGCGGTAGCAGTGGCGGTAGCGGCAGCGGTATTTATCGTTTTTTAAATACCACTGATCTAACTTAACCGGAGAGCGAAATATTTTGCTGAAAATTATTAGCTGACATTGTGACACCCATGCACGTATATGTATTTTAGTTATTATTGTATTTTTATTTTTTAATATTAATAATTTAAAGTACAAAATAACAAATTACTATTTTAAATATAATTAAATCTTAAATATAATCCCAAATATAATCTTTTTTTCTCGTATCCTTGAATTCTGGAAGTGTCATATTATATATATGATGGGATATTCTTTAACAATAGCTATTAACTGTTCAACTTTATTGGTCATTTTTATTATAAATAATAAATTTTAAACAATAGAACCATACATTCAAACACCATCACGTTAGATTCAACTGCAAGGTGTACGATTAAGATGAATAGATATGTGTTTGAATATTAAGTCAAAATATATCATACAATGTAATGATAAGCTTTCTATGGATATTAATATATTAATAATGAAATGTAGATAACTCATAGTTGGGAATTTACAACTGATTATCGCAGTGGTAAGCAAAAAATATAGTGTCTGCAGCGAAATATAAAAATATCGCGCTCAATCTTGCGGAAACATTTTCGTCGCGGTATTAATTTCGCGATAGTGAGTGCTCGTATTAAAACGTATGGACATAAAATTTCGCTGCCGCTACCAACACCGCTACCGCTTCGGTTTGTGCGGACCTTTATATCGCGAGCGGTCTTTACGTGACTTTTGTACCGTCTCTGCACAATTCGGAGGGATCGCGACACGCGCTCGAACGCCATAACGCACATAGAGAAAACGATTTTTTCCATTGTAACTTTCGATGGCATTTATAACGATCTCGTGATGTTCGCGAGATCAAAAGTTATAGCATGACGCGTATAATATATTAACAACTCACCTGTGGATCGAATGATGGCTACTGGCCGCGCCATAGGTGGCGGAGGGGGTGGTGGTAGCATTGTGCTCGGATAGTATTGGGCCATTTTTGGACTCCGCGTAGGGCCCGCCTATAATATCGGGGAAAAAAACAACGTTAGTATAAGAAAAAATATTTACAGATAAGTAAATGTGCATTAGTTGATTTCTTAAATAAAGTGTGTGCACAAGGTATTTGAAAACTCGGTAAAGTTTACTCATGCGTATACAGTTTGAACAGTTATCCAAATTTTCAAACACCTTGCACCATTTATGCATTATTTTATACAATAAAGTAACACTGACAAACGACATTGAAAACGACAATCACTTTTATATATAATCACGTTTTGACCTAATAATATAATTTTAAAAATAAAAAAATAATACATAAATATCTATGTATACATATATATATATAATTTAATGTAAAACCTGATTTCCATAGGACCATCCCTACGTGGGGCATAAAAAACAAAAGAAAACGGTAATTAAAATGTGAGATTAATAACATAATATAATAATTTGAATATAACATCAAACATATATCATAGATATTACACACAGAACATATTTTTACATTATTATTTTTAGCTTAACGATGAGTGTGAACGTATATATTTTATTTTGTGATAATGTGTCATCATGAGTGTGTCATATAATTCGGCTTACTGATCATATCTCATAAAATTTGATTAAAACTATATACTTAATCATAGAAATATAGAAAAGTAATTTTATTAAACACTCAACACACATAACGCTGTACACAAACCGAGGCAACGAGACGGAGGAATATATTTAAAATAAATTAATCTAAACTGATTGAGTTGAACTGTTTGAAAACCAATCGCATATCATAAATATAAATATTAATAATAAATATATCATAAATAGAATAAGCAATTTACGTATAATATACACATGCCAGAAATATAAAATTTGAAAATGAAAATAATAATTTTACAGTTAATAGTCATTTTGTTCTTGTTGGATATATGTATCAATATTCATCAAACACATCTTTTATCTATCTCTGGGTTCGAGTTAAGACTGTGACTTCATGTACGAAATGCGTCCGAAGAAAATGAGTACGTTCATTGAATTGTTCGTCATTTCGATCGAAGTTGATGAAGTGTTTAAAATTTCAAAGAAATTATAAGTTATTGTAGTCACGGACAATAGTTTTATTCACTAGATAATATGTATTCGACAGTCTACGTAAACTAAAACTCGGTTACCGATACATAATTATTATAAATTGATTTTGCCCTTCTTTACTTGAATTTCAATGTAATTTTAAATTCGATTATCGAAATCAAAATGTACGATGGTTGTTATTGCACAGGAAATGTAAGTACGAAAAATCAAATCTATATGATTTTGTTAACGGAACGGAAGTTTTTTCAAATATAAGTGCAAGTCCATGACGATACCAATATTTTTGATTTTTATTGTGCACTGTGCGAAATAACTGCAAATATTTTAAAGCGAAAATAACTGTCAAGTGTTACGTGTATGGACAGCGTGCTTCATATTTTTGACTTATCACTCGATCGTAATGCGGTTAGAAAGTTACAAGCGTCGTTGAGTATCTAAGTCGCTCGAATCTTTTTTCGTAACATCTAAAATACAGACTACAGCAGACGACGTTATAAAATAACAAGCGGACGTAATCAACGCAACTCTTTTTTTTTTAGATACATCTATTTCTATTTTATATTAATACAGTTCATTCAATTTATTTAATAGTCTTATGCTATATATTCTCTCTCTCTTTATGGGCGTGTGTGTGTATATTTTTCCTCTCGAGCGAAACGTATGCGTTTACATCAGTTAGAAATATTTATTTTTGGACACAGCAGTTTATTTTATTTTATTGCAATATACAGTAGGAGAATAACTTTTGACGACTTCGTACCTGTGCGCCTTGAGAGCTCTCTGCTTCTTGACATACGAAAGTGACAAAGTCCGACAGTGTATCGTGTCCATTCTCAGGGTACTTGGCGGGGCTGTGTTGTTCGGGTCCCGATGTCGCCGAACCGTAATAGTTAGCTGATGCCAAGGACGCAATGCTTCCCGAATGTTGGCCAGGAATACCTGCGGGACGAATCAATTTCATTAGGCGCTCGGCAAACGTACACAGTTTAATAGTATATTTAGGGGTACAAATATATTTCAATTTCGTTATCGAAAGCTTTCAGCTGTATAAAACAACATAATATAATAATACTATTATATATAATAGGTGGTCATAAAAGAGAAACAAAATTGTAATAATATGATATTTGAGTGTAAGTATTAATATGTTATGCGTGTGCAGTAATGGTTACAGCTGGGTGTACCATGTGGATTTACTATATTTTTATTTTTATTTTTTTTTATAATTTAAGCGTTTTATCAAAAATAAAAATAACAGCGAGCCGATTAAGTTATATAGGTCAATAACAGACCCTGCTCTGTTGGAGCCAATTAAGTATCATAATTAGGATTTTTTACTTATAATGAAGGAAATAATTGAGAATCGAGGCTCGAAATTTAAAGAGAAGACTGGTATCGGTTATATGATAACCAAGGGGCAGCAAATAAATGAATAAAGATAATCCGGAGAGGTCTGCAGTCATCATATTAATGAACACATGTATGGTTCTTATATTGGGTTCTTCGATTGATGAAATGAGTGAAGAAAACGGAACATAAATGGACATTAATTATTTATTGTCATAGTAGTTAAAAAAGCACACTTTAAGGTAACTGATGCGAAATAAAATACCATGATCGATGTCCGAGTGCCAACTGGTTTGACTAGATAAGGACGCAGGACTCTGACCATAATACGTGATTTCCGAGTTGGATTTTTCTCTCGGACCGCCCAAATCGATTTCCGTGTCGTCAGCGGAGCTCATTCTCCTCATCCGTTTGATTCTGGGCTCGTTCAACGGACTCTGTGTTCTTTGGATCGACATCGGGCCTTTGAGAACAAAAAATGAAATTAGCTCAGATTACCATAAATATCCATGTAACCTCCGCATATAATCGACAAGATATCATGAAATGCTAAAAATGTACGCGTACATTATGCTTATTTCAACATAAATATCTATTGTCTATAAGTTGTGTTTTACCCGGCCTGCATGACTTCATAATCGAACACAACGAGAAACTCACCTTCGACATCAATAACATACCATTTCTTATCAATGATCGCTTTACGTCTTCCTACTGATACTGTTCCAGTACAATATGTACATTTTAATTTATAAATGTCATTACTATGAAACTGTTGCTATTTGTATGTAACAACGCACTAACATATATGGATATAGTCTGGGGAGATTCACACGATATTCACAGACAGTGCCGTGCCTAGAATAATTAGCGTCCAGTGCCAGAAATAATTTTTAGCACCCCCACCCCCTCTACCTACCAAATATTTTTATACCCATAGACTATATAAGAGTAGGGGTTTCCATATAACTACTTATTTTGTATTTATTTTGTATTTATTAAATTAATAAAATAAATAATCTACAACTAAAGAACAATATAAGTAATATAACTCAAACTGTATAGGTAGAACAGAACTAATAGAATCTAGATTAATACTTCTATAATATTTTATTATACTCATATCTATAATTTATACTATAAATAGTATATTGTTGTTAATTTGTTATCGAAGACGTTGTCATCTCGGGGAAAAGATAAATACTAATACTAAAAATAAACTAGCAACAGCGCCGATAAGGAGTCCTGATTCAGGACAATATTAATGATATTGAATATGCATCGAAACCATGGCGTTGAACGTGTTAAATATTCTGAAATAAATAATATGAATACATTTTAGTAAAATTACTTAGATTATGAAAATGCTTTTGGCATCACAGTGATCATAGCGCCCGGTGCACACCTCTCACACCCCCTAGGCACGGCCCTGTTCACATATGTTCTCATGCTATTGAACTTTTCAAGTATATATTATACATATGTGGTTTTATAACTATATAAACTATGAGAACTTTCTTGAAGATATAACATGGTAATGGTTAAATATAAGACTATAAAGAGGTAAATATGAATATTTACATATTATGTATGAATAATAAAACACGCTTTGGATGTCAAAACAGATACCACTTAGGTCCGACCCCGAAACCATCAAAACGTTTTATCATGTCTATATTTATATACGTATACTTTATGTTATATGTGCACGGTAAATAAATTATAATGGTCTCTTTTGTTCTTATTTATTTCTTATTTAAAATAAATAAAACTTAGTTTTATTAGTTTACGACTTATTTATTGCGAACGATATCGTCTATTTTACGTGGTGGAGGAAACACGCAAATATACACATGGCGTGCGATTACAATGTACACGTTTACGCATAAATTATATATATATGTATTATAATGTATATAAATGGTTCTCGATAGCCGAGTCGTCCATTTTGATACCTAATAAGGAAAATTGCACAAACAATGCGAAGAACTCGTTCATTTATCCTTCATCTTGCGGGAATTATTTCATTATTTCACATTTCTAAATAATAATAACAGGCGTGGATGAACAATTATTTACCGTGTATTATTATATTGGTCGCGGGCACCACGAGAGACAATAATCATATCCGACCGACCGCGACCGTGGTTATATTATGGTAAATATAAGGTATATTATGCACTAATATACGTGTGTAGCTGCAGTTTATAGTACATAAGGAGAATTATATACGTATGTATGTAAATGTTACCGTCTATAATATTACACAGACGTGGTTCTGTTAGTCGGGTGTTAATACCGCACACGTCAATTATCGCGTAAAAAATGTGAATATTTAATATATGAAATACCATAAAATATACAATATACAATATAGCATGGGTTAATTATTTCCTTTCACCACACAAACGAATCAATAATTTTTGACGAAGACGTAAAGTAATATCAACAATAGTAAACTTCTGCTCTTATTAGATCTCCTTATGTAGTCTCACCTCCAATGATTTGTCGATCAGATAATTCACTCGACATTTCTTTCAATATAGCAAAATGTTCCGTTATATTATGTCATCCTATCATTTCATATATCCACTTAAGTTTCAATAAATTATCGACAACGCTCCTCCTCCTCAAACTGCTTGACACCACGTGATAAAATTGGGTCATACGTTGATTTGAGCCCGATTAGAATATTATTATATCAGATATAATGATAAGTACTTGATAAAATACACTCAAAATGTATTGCAAATGCTTATATATAAAATAAAAATTATATGAATTTAATTCATAATTTACAACGGTACTGAAGTGTAACTTTGATGTATAAAGAAACAATAAATGATTATGCTGACCGTCTGTTCAAAAACGAAAACACGTCATGAACCAATTTTTCATAAGTTATTTTATAATTTCTAACTAAAATATTACGCCACGTACCTACAGCAGAATTATTCATACACACGAATTGGTTATATACTCACTGTAGCTGCCAGATGCCATAATGGACGAGTGGTCGCTCGGCGGGGTAAAGCTGCTGCAATAATACCCTGGGTTTTCAATTTTGATAATATTCATGGGTGGCATACCGTTAGGGTTTTGAATTATGGATGCTGTAAAAGAAAAATACATATTTTTATTAAACCAATAATAATGAGAAATAACAAAACGCAATAATGTTTTAAGAAGTTTTTTTTAAGTTTTTTTTTAACAACCATTTTAGTTTTTTTTTTATACAGGCAATAACTAATACTGTATGATAATAATATCAGTTTGTACGGTGTAAAACGATACAAGTTTTAAAATAATTGTAAACAAAGTAAAATCAATTAAGTAATCGAAAAAACGTTAAAATAATTAATTATTAGTAAGAAGTATTTATTGTCAAAGAAAATAAATAAGTCGTATCGTCAAGTTACAAGTGTACGGAGAAAGATTTATAATTAAGGCTCTGAGTACGCTCTGATCGTATTTACGGGGTTTAGCGAAAAACTTGTGATTTATTAACATTTTATATTTATGTGAAAACACAACCGTTAAACTGATAAATCTGACGCGTAAACACGTTGATCGAAAAAAGATACCGTCATGTGGTGAAAATAAAACCGATATTAGCAATTAACAAGCGCAGCGACGACGATTTGATCAAAATCAACCGGGTAAATTACCACGGTCACCACGGGGATAATAATCCACAGTAGCGTCTCGGCGTGCGCACGAGGAGTACCGGGTGTGCCCTGACATTTTGTAAATGGAGCCCTAAAATTTAAGATTAAGAGTAAATCGCCCGAATTTGTAACTGATGTTGTTTAAATTAAATATAATTTATTCAAAAATATTTGATAAAAAATAAATTATGTTTCGAAATAGAAAAAAATAAAACGAAATGTTCTGAATTTACGTGTTATTATTTAGTTATTATTATGTTAGTATTTAAATGTTACGTTTATTTAATTATTAATACATTATAATATGTATTAAATATACCTACACATTTTGTTAAGATAGGGCCTAAAAGTATTATAGGCACCTACTGAAATGCAGGTCTGCGCACGCCTATGCGTCTCGACAATAAACGAAAGTTTATTATATCCTTTTCGTCTCTTAAATCATATAATTGATATACCTACACGATAACATGAACACGTCTCATTGTCAGATTTCACGTCGTCCATACCGAATCCGATCGTACGCGCGCGGGCGTAGTATGTTTTAATAAACTCATATTGCGTACACACAAACGACCGCAACGCGTCACCCCTTTAACTGCGGCCCAGGAACCTGTGTATGTATGCACATCTACGCCGACTAATCCTTAAAAGGGGCAATGTTGTGTGCCAGTAAATGTTGCGGATACCAATGGATGACTTACGGCTTTGGAACAGGCGATCTTCCCACGCGGGTGCATGCGTGTGCAAGGTTAGCACGCGGCGACGGCGGCGGAGAGGGTGCGAGTCACGAGGGACCTAACGACGACGCAGGAGAATCGTGTAATCGGCCACCCGTGCGAGATATTTTAATACACACCGCGAACTCTTGTGCGTCGCGGAAGGGATGAAAAACGAGAACCCGACGTACCGCGAAAACGGGATTTCGCTGCACGACGACGTCACGAAATTTCCGCGCGGAACACACGAGCAATAGTACACTCCCGAGTGGACTCGTCGCACGAACCGCACCGTGCGTGTAAGACAAGTTTAAGAAGAAATTTTCAAAACGATCTCGATGAAAATCTCGACACGCAACGATATCGCGCGGTACGATGGGGCGTACCACTGGTTGGCTACGATTTTTTTTTTCTTTCCGGTTTCCAACAAGGTACCGATACGCAAACAGCATTATTATATCCCAAAACATTTGCCGTTAGCCGTTAGTCCATTAGCGTAAACCGAAATCGAATCCGTTCTGCTGTTACAGAAAAAATCGTGCACGAACGCGGCAAAGGCATTTGCTGTTATGCGTGTAGTGTGTTCGCAGTACACCGGCGCGACGGCTTTCTCCGCACCCGTACACCACACGCGCTTAACGATCGCATTGGCTATAGATGTTTTCACGCTATTCCCACAAACGGTCCTGAAAAGGTTTTCCGTTTCGTTTTCATATATATATATATGTGTGTATACACCAAGTAGTCCGCAACGTCCCTCTCGACTACGTTATCCCATCAATTTTTCCTTGGGCGGTGATAGGAACAGCACACTTCCGGATTCTTGTGGTCACGCGACCAAAGTAAACTGCGGTTTTTTTTCTCTTAACGACTTATTTATCATTGTGTATAATCCTTCGATAACCGAATTATTCTTTCATACAAAAGTATTACACTTGCTTATCTCGGACAGATATTGAATAACAATAATACATATTATATTAAATGTTAAGCATGCGTATTCCGATATTTTTTAATTCGCAGACCGTTAGAGATTATTACATTGTTTCATTATAGCTTTATGATATTCAACTACGAAATGAAAAAAATTCTATTATTAATTTATCAACTGCAGTTCGTTCATGATGGAATAATTAAAATATTTAATAGACGGAATATAGAACGCACAAAGGAAACTCCAGACAATAACTCAATCGTTAATAAAGCATTTGCGGTTAGCATAATTATTTCAAATCATTTGTTTTAATTTTGGCATTTTTACTGGTCATTAGTTTTATTCAAAAGTGGTGTAAGAAAAAAATGATTTTTCGAAATTGTTTATTCGTTCGGAAATTTGACTGGAAATTAAAAACGCCCTTAGATTTATCTATGAACAAAGATAAAAACATAATATTTTAGTAATCGACGAATCGCTGTATATATTTTATATATGCAAATATCACGTAACGCGAGGTGCTATAAATGCGTATAGATACGTTATTGAGTCAACGCACTCGTGTTGCTGCGACCCGTTCCAGATCATTTCATTTCACGATCGATATCGTCGCAAAACCATTCAGTCACGATAAAACCGCGCATCGCCGAGTGCAAAACTGCAGATAATATGTAGGATATTGTTATTACGTGTATGCAGTTCACTTGCCGTTCGTACATATAATGCGATATCATTTTTTCGGGCATCGTTGAATTTTCGCGGACATATTTACTTGCGATGCAAATAATTATTACTATCGTAAGCACGTCGCCGCGATTGAGTCAAGGATCAACGTTGTAAATTATAAATTATGTATTTCAACGAGTTTCTTCGACTGTAAAATACTGCAGATATCACGAGGGACGTGCACACGTTCGTTTGGATATAAAAGTTTGATTATTCATGAAAGTTTTCAACAATTGGTATAAATATAGATACTCGTACTGTAACGAATATTTAACGGCAAGAAATAGCTTATAAATCGATTAATTTATGCATTTAATAGGTACAGTCATTTAGGAAACAAATAACTTTTTTTTTTACTTAATATTATGTTTGTATCGGAGTGGTGTTCAAATAAAATCATTTTCAATTAAATTAATACTTTAAAATGAATTATAATTTCGCGTAATGATCAAATGTTTTAAAATATTTTTGTTCGACTTAACATTAAATAGTAGTCGGGACAAAATTAGCATTTGATATTAAATGAATACTTGATTGGGCAAATCGTAAACTGATGAATGGTTAAAGATTATAATTACAATTTGTAGTTATTAATCATAAGATAAATTAATGTAATCAATAATGCCAATAACAAATAATTTTCACACATTTATTAAATAATTAAAATCCGTGCTCATTATTTTGTGTACATGGATAATAATTATTTGTTGGTAAAAATAAAGATTAATGGCAAGAGTAGTGCGTTTAAAAAGTACTTATAAGTTTCAAATTTAGACCACTGTAAGAGCCATTTACAGATGTTTGACTAGTTTAGATTCCAAGTAGGTTACTAGGGTGAGGGGAGGGACGAAAAGAAAAGTTTACTTAACGAGATACGATGTAGGATGTTAAGTTTGTACTCGATTTCATCGGCTCTCTATTTAACACCCACTGGTATATTTTTAACGTTTGATGAACCCGTTTAAATTGATTCGTTTACATAGTAATTTTTTTATTATTTTTTTTTATTTTCATCGCTCGCTCAATACGAACCGCATGTGTTATAGTCAAGAAAAACAATACTACGTATTGGAGTGCATAAATGATGAATCCTCGTAAGTAATTTTTATCATTATGGCTGTATAAGACGATTATTTTAACAATTAAAGGTACTAAAAAGGACGCGGAACGGTAACAGTAAGTTGGGACCAGCGGTCTTGTAACAGGAAAGCGTGGACACAAACTTGACCGATAACACGTTCGGTCAAGAACATTATTGGATTACAACTGTTCTCCACAAAGGGTGGCCAAATCAAGTCACCGGCAGCGTCGGGCGCGTTATATTATTACGCGTAATACGGTTACGGAAAAGGTAAAATCTCGTTTGATTCGAAACGTTCGCGATGCATGGTTAGCATTAAGTTATCGTTACGGAATGGACCAGCGTTTTCAACGTTTTTTTTTTTTTAGCCCCGCGCCACCTACTGCTGTGTCCCGGGCAAATAAAACGACGGATCACTCATGTTTATGTACAGAAACGAGCGCGCGTCAGTACGGTTGATTTTTCCTGTCCCGTCATCGTCATCGCTCGGCCGAATTTTCGAGTAGGCATTATTTTTACGAGCGCCATGTGCCGGCGCAGCAGTGGTCGCACAACGGCGACGTGTGCGCACTGCGCGTCCTGGCCGTCTATATATAAACGAGATCCGAGGTCGTGACGTTAAACGTACGCACGTCAGAGGGACCGAGTGGGATTCGATTTTGTTTTCTTCCCCGGAGGCCCGTTTCTCGCGGCCGCACGTTTCTAAATGCGGATCCGAGCGGACCGCATTTCGACGTTTCGACGAACCACCACGGTACGGACGTAACGGGGACAAGGATCCTGGACGCGAACCGTGGGGGTACAGAAACATTGATAAAACGGAATCGAATTCATCGCATCGCAACAAAAAGAAAAAACATATGAAGATTCGACCCGTGCGAGTGCGAGTTCTAACCCGTCCGATATTTGCCATCCGCCTTTCCGTTGTAGTAGGTCGGATCTGTAGGTACACTGTGCAGGGGCAGAACTAGGGGATGGAAGACAGGGATTTATCCTCGTGCGTGAAATTTTTATAGAGTGTAATTTTTGTATTTATTAACATCTAATTTGATATTTTTGACTTTTTTAAATACTGTTATCAGGTTAAAACTCAATAAGTACGATTGTATATTAATTATTAGAAAACAAATATCGTGAAGAGTATTTGACTGTCGGTCTATGATAAGGCGTAATTTTAACATTTTCCCCGGGCGTAAAAATTCCTAGTTCCACCTCTGACATTATGCAATTTCGTTATAACGTTAATGGTTTCCCGATGGTCGGACGAGCAGTGTTTAATTTAGGACACACGTATGGGTGTCGCAGTAATATTACCTGCCCGCCACGCTTTGTAGTCCATATGTCATACGCGTTCATATCACATTTCATACTCTTGGGCGTTTTATAACTACGACGTGTGCATTTATAGATGAGCGTTGTTTATAATATTTTTAGATCGTCCGCACGTTTTGATGGTTTAACGCAATTTTACTTATTTCTACTCGATTATTGTACACGCGCGCGTTTCCTTATGTGTACCTATATATTATGTTGTATTTTTACTACCGAAAGAGATATATTATATTACATATATGAATATATTTGATACAAATATATCATATATAAAGGTATCTGCTCCTACTTTACTGTACATTATTATTATTATTATTATTATTATTCCCTACCTTTGGAAAGCCTCCAAAGTTCTTTGGACGAAAAAACTCCGGTCGCTAAAATGTTATCGTTGCATACCACACCGTTATAGGGGTTGTGCGAATAGCCTGCAACAAACCAGAAAAAATAAATGAAAATGTATTTCGTGTAGGTGAAAATCGTTGAACAAAATAAATGTGAAGAGCATCTATCCCTTGTATACATATTCTCTCATTCACCCCTTTCTATCTGTGTCGCGCGCTGCGCTCACGCATAAACACAACCCTTGGAAAACGAACCACCACCGTCACCGTTATATAATTAACACATCGTTTTTCGCGCGTAAAAACTACGACGTGGGTTTAAAACTATATATACATACGTAAAACAGCAAAAACAGCGGCGGTCGGTCGGTTTAAAGGCCCAGACTCGACTCTCGTAAATCAGTGTAACGTTATACCATATGCACAGTCGCTTTCTTTGAATTTAAAGAATTAACTTTACAACAGCGATATGGTATTTTACGCGTACATGTATTAAATAAATCCAGGAGAAACCAATTAATTTTATTTAAAACTGATGTCGGGCCCCATTTTCGTATCGTGTGCTCATGCTTCTTCTACGCCATTTATGTCATTATTCGATGGTATAAATTAATCGAGCACGGTTTTAAGAGAACACCCGTCTTAAGAGGCTTTTTATTATTAGAAATAAATGACGCGCAATTTCGTTCGGTTGAAAGTAGTCGGTGAATCCGATATATGGTGTTCGCAACGCATGATCGACTTTACGCGTCTCGCAAAGAACAGGGCCAAATCAGATTGGAGAGAGAGCCCGAGGAAAAAAAAATGTTGTACGACATATAATTTATAATATTTTATAAAAATATGTTTAATTGTTGATCGATTTTTAATTTTCAAAACAATACATTATTTGTACTACAAAAAAGTTATAAAATTAAACAAAAAAAAACAAAAGATAAAATAGCCTGAGAATTATTATAATACAAATTTCACAATAATTTGTTACAAACATCAAGAAAAAATCATAAGACTTTTACTACATTTTATTGGAAACGGAAAGTCCTATTTAAATTTAATTTTTGCTGTTTATTTTTCATCACGGTTTTTAGTTTAAATTGTTTAAAGTTTTCAAAATCGTTCAGAATTGTATACACGATAATGTTACTCGAGTATCTACGCTACAACAGTGGAAATTATTCGCAATCATTTTATGATTCTATTTACCCGCAAAGTGCTTTCTCGTTGCGAATCAGTTGCAATTAAGTGGTACGCAGCATATTTGAGATGTATGATATAAATTTTATACATCATCACGAGAAAAGTTCTGGTTCATATATTCTACTAGCGTTGGTTTGTTAACATCACGAGTTGAATGCAAGAATGTGTGTATTTAAAAAAAGTGGTCCTCCATTAAGAACACATTTAATTTCCACGACCATTAATAATAATAATAATAATAATAATAATAATAATAATAATAATAATAGAGCGATAAGTTGATAAAACGAAAACAATTGTAGCGGCGGAAAATCTACAATAAAAGGGGTGAATTTTTTAGTAACATCGAGACGTAGGAGGTGTTGCAGTGTTATACGTGTTATTGTATTGTTAAATCTTTAAAAAGAAGCATCCTGCATCAGCAGCAGTATATTATGGGTTATTGCACACCGTACGCTCAAGTATACCCGAATTATTATGCAACGCACGTACTTATAAACACTGCGATGTTAAGGGAAAGAAAAATAAAATGCACCGTTTAAGCCGTGAATACCTTTATATATTATATATAAATATAAATATAAATATATATATATATATATATATATATATATATATATATATATATAATATGTATAAAACATATTATAAGTATATTACAGCACATATATGTACCGCGATACGCGTATAATGTATAACCGGGTCAATGGTTATATAATGGTAATATATATATATATATAGATAATATATGTACCTGGTAACGATCCTGTTGATGGGCGATTTATGGCGCTTACATTAGTGCATCTGCAGTAGGTCGTACTACAATGTACACATACGTGAAACGTACACGAGAATGCGTTTTTCTCCCATTTTTTTCGCTATCGTGGTTTTTTCGTGTTTTTTTTTTTTTAATGTCATCGTTGGACGATTATGTGCATACAGCAAAACGCGTAGCTGCGACGAAGGTACACATGTACGCGCGTGATCAGAAAACTAACGACACGATGCTATGTATTTTTTATGTGAACTCTAAGTCCAGATAATTCAATATTTCACGGCGTTCTGTCACACATGTTTGATACATACAGAAAGGATCATAAGAAATCAATTAATGTATCATAAAGGATACATCTCAAATTGTCAACGCTCAGAATATTATTATATATTGATTGACAAAATGTGATAAATTTTCCACTCGTACAATATGTATTGCTTTAATAGTAACAGCGAGTGTAAAAAAAAAAAATTAAATAAATAAACGATATCGGAGGGGCCGCAACAAAGTCAAACGGTCCATGACGACCGTCTTCAGTGCGCATATAAATTCGCACGAGAATTTGCATCGCGCCATGCGTAACGATCTCTGTTGACTTTCACGCCTCTCTCATATACACATAATAATGTAATATGCGCGCGCGTCACCGTCGTTGATTTATCTCGAAGACATCGTTCTCGGAGGAGGAGGAGAAGGAGGAAACGATTCTTTACGCGTTTCAAATATTTTCAAAATATACTAATGCGACGGTTCGAGTGTATACAAAAGAATCGTAGTCGTACACGATCTATTTGCACACATACGAAAATATCGTAGAAATTCGCAACGACGCCATCGGTCTATGATCAATAGCTTCGACGAATACGTTTTTATATTTTCGCACATGTTATAATACTGTACAACGTTCGATCAGAAGAGAACGAATGACGTTCTTTTTTTTTTTTTTTAAGCAAATATAGTGTATATATATATGCACATAATATATTACATCCTTTTTTTAATTCTCTCTGCGCGCGATACATTCATACCACTAGGGACGTAAATTTCAGTACATTTTTGCATCTCTTATTTCCCGATACAAACACATTATCTCTGGCCTCTTTCTCATGTATACATACATGAATACGAGTATGTCATTTATATGCATATAGACTTTTTAAAGACGTCGCAACTAAAACGGTTTGAGCGTAATTTACGAGCTGGAACGCTGCAGAAGAAAAATGTTTAGATTGGGTTTGGGAAAAAATACGAGTTGAAAATCGATGCGCGTGATCGATGAAGACAATACTTTTGACAACGTACGCGACGAAACAAATACGTTTTATAAAATATATTCGCGTGGTGACAGTGTCGAATAATAATTTATTACTCTTCTTTGCCCTTATATATATAAAAATTATAAAACTAACGTCCCGTCCTTTGTACAGTAATAAGGTAATTTCTTTTTTGTTTATCCTCTACATATATAATACGTTCGACGCATCATAAAATAAGGGGTGGTGGGCGCAGCGTCTTCAGATTTCAAATCAACCAAGTGTTTAATATATAAAAATGCAATACACACAATATACACCGTGGACGATGCTGTTTATAAAACTAACTAATGGTAAACTCATTAAATATGAAAATACACGAGGTACACTGCAGTTATTGCTACATAAGTGGTTAAACAGACCTATAACGATTTCTATAAGTTCTGGAATGGATCATAGTAATGTGTGCATACTATCGTGCATTATTGCATCTCCACGGCTGATATGAATTTTTATGATTTACGCCACGGTAAAGAACGAAATAATTGTTTTCGCTTAAAAATCATAACAGGGATTGGTCATATATTAGGTACTTCACACGTTTGAAATCGACAATGTAATCAAGGTTATACTCGGTGAATTTTTGGAACAAGATCAAGGAAATATTCGGTCAACACACTTGAGTGTGATATACTAAATTAAAGTTTGGAACGAGTAAAATTTTACACGACCCGTCAAATTGCATTAAAATAAATTACTCTATGCTCGACACTATACAAATCTTTAACGGATGCATGTGCGTTTAAAGTGCGGCAAACAGAATAACCATAAAATTAAAACATGCGTTCTATTAATTATTTTGAGCCGAATTATAGTGTTACGACTTTTGATGATTAAAGTAGTATTTTAAGAACATTTCGAGAAATTATGTTTTTCAGCTTGCAAACGTCCGATGACTTTGAACAGACGTTATATCGCAATATAGTGGATAAATGAATAAATTGTCTAGCAAACATCTGACTGGACACCATCGTCACTGCATGATAAGACGTATACGCAAAGCGTCGAATGTTCGGTTCAGCAGTAGGAACGTGTAAGTAAATCGTACAATCGTGTAGAAATTGTACACAGTTTACATCATCTCAGCAATACATTGTTTCATTGTGATAGTGCCTATTTTACGCGTAACAATTAGACCGATGTGGATTTAACAGTCCTGAATTTACGCCTAAAATGGCGTCCTAATAATTGTGCGTCAGAAAAACGTAAGAAAACCTGCGTCAGGTAGTGGCGGTTTTTGAAAAACCACTAGGGGGGACGGTGAAAACATTTTAAATATACTTACAATTTGCATACACATCCCATTTATTTTTTTGCTTCATACATGAGAAGTAATTTTAGTTTCTATAAACTTTATACTACAAAGGAATAACATGAAAATATATGTATCAATAAAAAAATTAAAACAAAAAGGATTTTTTATTCAAACTTATAGGAGTAAACATTTTTGTAAATAGTAAACAGTTTTGACATAAAATTATCACCAAAACGATTTTTAGTAAATTGTTTGCTCTTTCATATTTTTTATTCTTACACGGCCCAAAGGGGGGGGGGGCGATCCACGTATCGCCCCTCCCGTAAAACCGCCACTGGTGTCAGGGGACTTAAATAAAATCAATGTTACAACCGACGAAAAACGAGTGCCTATGCAATAGATGTGCACTGTACTTGAAACAGTTTTACGAAGATGTTCGTCTTTCTCTTACGAACTACGCGACCCGCTGAAGGGGTTAGCCGTAAGCGGAGTGCAACGGTTTTTAGTGTTGGTGGGAGTACGTTGTACACCGCAACTGCAGACG